CCACTTCTCTGAGAACCACTGGTCTAGAACAGACCAGGGCCCAGCAAACAGTGGCCTCCTCGTGGCTGCATTTGTATGGCCTGTGAGCTAAGAACGGTTTCACAGTTTTCAAAGGTTGTGAAGAGGAGGAGGAGAGAGGAGAGGGAGAGGAGGAGAAAACAAGAAAGAGGAGAGACAAAGCATAAGGAGGCGGAGGAGGAGAAGAAGAAAGAGAAGGAGAAGGAAGAGAAGAAGGAAGAGGAGGAGAAAATAAGGGACAGTAACAGATTATATGTGGCCCATGCTGCCTAAAGTAAGCTTTTGCTGACCCCTGGTCTAGACTCGAGAGGAAAAGGATACCATCTGGTCCATTCCCTCAAGGAGTTTGTAACCTAATAGGGAATGAATGTTAGGATTCCATCAGAGAAGCAGAACCACTGAGAGTGACATGCAATAAGGGGTTTATTATAGGGATTAGGCTTTATGCAATTGTGAGAGCTGGTAACAAATTCTACAGCAGACTGATGCCTTTGTGTCTGGTTGTGGCAGGAAGTCACTGCAGGCTGACAGGGCGATTAGTCAGGAAGAAAAGCTGCACAGGAAGTGGGGGAAAGCAAGGACACACTGGAACCCACCAGGACCAACTGGAACCCAAGAAGGTAAACTAGAATCCATGTCTGTCTCTCACCACATCCAATCTCATTGATGAGTGACCTGAAGAAGCTGGCGCCCTCTGCCGCAGAGCTGCACACCTGCCCCGACCTCCTACATGCTCTCACACACCACGGCTCACCCAGCACTGCACCAAGCACACAGTCCTATAGCCGCCTGCTTCCCTGTCCGTGTCCTCGGCTGGACTCTGAGACCTCGCAGTGGGGGCTGCATCTGTCTTGTTCATTGTTGTGTCCCTTGCTCCTAGCATGGTACTTAACATGGAGTAATTGCTCAATCAATATCTTCTGGATGAATGAGTGAAAAATAAATCCACACATCAAGTGAAAATTAAACTGGGCAGAAACGAAGCAGGTGATTCATCCGAGAGAAGGATGCTCTTGTTAGTCTCCATGTGCTGGTTCTAATTATAGAGGTGTTGTGGTTACTTCATATTATTCTGCCAGGCTTCAGTGGTAGACAAGAGCAATTCTCTATGTACACAGAGAGAGCTCCCCCAAAGGGTGCGTCCTTCACTATGCCGGTGCTGGGGAGGTGATGGTGCACCTGCTTGCTGAGCTAAACTAGCAGGAGACCTGTGTTGGGAACCTTCTGGCAGGAAAGAAACAGCATGCCTGGGACACCACCCATGTGCAGCAGGAAATATAGGATGTTCATCATGTCAAGACCGACCGGGATGCAAGAAAGGATATCAGGCAAGATTCCACCAATACTGAGGGACACATCATAGTTATTATCATCACTAAATAATAGCTGACATTTATAGAGCATTTAGCCCACGCCAGGCTCTATGCTAAGGACTTCACAGGCACTATATCAGGGAATTCTCACAATGAAATCTATAATTATCACCATTGGATAGATGGGGAAATTGAGGCTTTGAGAAGTGATGTTGCTTACCCAAGATAGCAGAGCTAGTAAGAGGCAGACCTGGAATGCAAACAAACATGTTTCATCGTGAGACCCAATTCCTCACTGCCATCTATCCTTGGAACCTGGGCTGGTCCCTGAGAAAACACGAGTCTAGGTTTTATTTTAACAAACAAAAGCTGTTTCCTTACAGTGGGTATTTAAATAGTTTTAGTAAACATTGGAAATCTACTCCAGGGTTAAAGTTTCAAAGTTATTGAATGTCAAATATATTATATATATTAAAATATATTTGTATATATCATATACAGATATGATATGTGATATCATATTAAGTGCTGAATGCAGTAGGTCAGGAAATTCAAGCAAACAAAAAATATCCAATAGCCTTATAAAAAACATCAGCTGCTTACCAAACAGATGTTAAATAGTAAGAAGTGTGACCTATTGATTGTGGTATTACAACATATGAATTCAGTCTTAGCTAAAATCTCTACTTGTTCTAGGTGAATAATACTTTTTAAACAATGTTAGCAATTTGAATAATATTTAGATCCATCTAAACTTAAATCATAGCCCAATATACATACCACCCTTTTACACACATCACTATTATAGATATAATAGATTAAAATTAATTTCACATGTATTTTTGACGCTGTGCTGGAAATTGCTTGAGATATAAAGATTAATAAGACTTGGTCTCTACCTTCACAGGGATTTCAGAGAGTGAGGGGCACAGAAACTTCTCCAAATAACTGCAGAATGAGACAAATGAGATCATAAAAGCCCAATGCATACTGGAAGATTGGAATAGAAATGGAAATTCTATTTAGTGCACATACTCATTAAAGTAATAAAGAGTCCCCCCCAAACTGGCTACTTTAAATTTTTATCAAACATATTTCTTACATTTAAGGGAAATTGTTTCTGTCCAGTCTAATCTCTTTCATATCCTGAATCCATTTAGAGTTATCTAAAATCAATTTTCTTCTCAGGGGCACAGAATTTATGCTGTCCCCCTACCCCTGACTGTCACTGAACATTACCACATTTTAGCTTTTTCTATTTAAAATGCAAAGCAATATAAAACATAAAATTTTGAAAATAAAACCCCTTTGGAACTTCAACTAAAATGTTAAAGAGCTTCATTCATAAAGAGCTTCATTCATGCTAAAATCAGACTAGATTTCAATCTTTAGATGGAGTATTTGATTGGTAATTCTTCATTTCTATAAATACATGGAAAATAGCAATCTAGTTTTAAAAGTTGTAAGAAAACGTAATATTTACATTTAGGAAAATTTCACATAAGTGTTCCCAGATGCGTGCTCGCCATAATGAAAATGCATTTCCTCAAGAGCTGACTCTTCAAGGTAGTTGACTACTCCTCGCCCCTACAAACAATATTAGTATTTGCTAATATTCAAAAGTCTAAATAAATACCCTTTTCCTTGGGAATATCTTACCATAAAAATATTGCCTGTAACCACAAAATCCAGAATGTCAAATTCTTCCAAACAGTCTAGTTTCTTCAACAAAAAAGCAATTTGAAAAGAACGATTGAAAGAGACAGGAGACCGTATCAACCAAACATAATGGGTAGCAGCCCTTATTTGCATTCTAATTCAAACCAACCAAATAAACAAAAACAGTTTGGGGATAATTGAGGACATTTAAATATAGCCCAGATAAATTGATGCCATTAATGAATTATTTAGGTATGATAATGGGATTATAGTTACGTGGGTGGAATTCTTATCTTTTAGAAAAATGTTAAAAAATATTAGTGGATGAAATGATAGGATATCTGGGATTTGATTCAAAATAATCCAGTGGGGAGGGGATAAAGATAAAACAAGGTTGGCCTAGCTGAGGGGTACATAGAAGTCAATTATTCTAATCTCTCTGCCTTTGTATATGTTTTCAAGTTTCCATTATATGAAAAAAAAACCCAAAAATTAAGGAAAAATAAATACTGCTTGAGACACAGCAAAATAGTTACCTTGGATAACACAATAACAGTCACCTTAATTTTAAGGTGTTGGTCATAAATATGGCTTTAAATATAGATATAGCTATAGATAGCAGAATTACGGTATCTGAAAAAGAGGAAATTTCTTATGCTTAATTGAATCTCATTGTTCTCTTTCCCTGGATTTGGGAACAGAAACTGCTTCACTATCCCCAAATATTCTTAATTACTTAAGAATTAATTACCGATTTCAATAACCATACTCGTGCATTTTAAAAACAAATAAGAAAATGAAATTTATATATAGGTATTTCTTTTTTTTTTTTTAAGATTTTATTTTTCCTTTTTCTCCCCAAAGCCCCCCGGTACATAGTTGTATAGTCTATGGTTGTACATCCTTCTGGTTGTGGAAGGTATTTCTTTTATAAGCATTCATTTTAACATATACACCTTGATTATGTTAAGGTACTTGAGCAAGGGGGGGAGGGAGTGTGCAAATTTTGGTCTTATTAACTATCTCCCGCCTATTTAAGTTCTTTGAACCTAGTGGTGTCTATGGACTCACTGAATGCTTTAAAGACACAAATAATTTCAGCGCTGATATGAAAAAGCCATTAAGACTAAACTATTTTTGTAGAAATTACAGGAAGGTGACATTATCAATTAGGGAAAGATTACAACTTAGACTGGAATCAGAAGTTAACGTGGGAAGACATTTCTGACCATCCAGATGCTGGGGGGAATGCGAGCTATGTGTCCCCCACCTTTTAACAGAATGTGGTGAAGGACCGGCGCGAAATCTGAGACGACGAAATTTGCTTGAGCTCGCTCCCAGCCTTGTTAATTCTTATCGCCGTTTTGATTCTATTCTTTTTCTGGTAGTTTCTGCTGTTTCTCCAGATTTTCTACTGGATGTTCTTGCATCGAACTCAAAATGAAAGGAGCAGGGGCGTCTGGGTTAGGCAGACCGGAGATGAGAGAGGTTCCTAAATCATTACCTACGTTGCCGTGAGTAAGCAAGTACCAACATTGCGGATACCCAATGGATGCGGGAACAGGGCGCGCAGAACGTTCCCGCTGCGCCAGATCGCACCTGCACCGGGCCTGCTGGCCACCGACAGGCACCTGGGCTCACAGCCTTCGGCCACCACGGGGGACTCCAGTCGGCCCGCTCCCCAGACGCCCCCTCTCCTTCTCGGCAGGGCCCGCACCTCCACTCCCCTTCCTGCGGACCCGGACCTTCTGCCCTGAGGGTGAACTGCGGGCTGGTATTTCCGCAGCCCAGGGTCCCCACCCCGCCTCGCCTCTCCCCAGGCCGGTGCCGCCCAGCTCCCTGGGCACATCACGACCCTTTCACGCTGTCAGGGCCAGTGCCCGTAGCGGGCCGCGAAGTGGAGCATAAGGTGAAGATTCGGGAGGGGAGCTGTGGCTCCGGGGACAGCGCGGGGCGGGGAGGGGGAGGGGGACGGCGCCGGGTGTGCGGGCGGACGCGGGCTCGCGGTCCCGCCAACGCCTGCGTTGGGATCTTGGGGACCGCGAGGGGAGAGAGGACGAAAATCCTGTTGGGGAGGAAGGACGCACTCGCAGGCTTGTCTCCTGCCTGCTCCCTGGCGATCTAGGGTGAGGTGGCATCCTCCAGCTCAGTGGGCCTGGGCGGGGCCTGGTCCGGTCCTGCCCGGACCTCCCTGCGCTCGTCTGGGGCGCGTCCTAGGGAAGAGCAGGGCAGAGCCCGCGGCGCTGGACGGGGGACTGACCTTGCGCGGCCTGCGGGGCGCCCAGGGCTTGGGGAGCGAAATGCGCTTCCTGGGCGCGGGGCCAGGGACCAGGAGCCCGGGAGGAGGATTTGGGGCCCTGGCCCCCTTCGGGTCTCGGCCTCCGCGACCCACCGGAGGCCCAGGCAGAAGGTCGGAGGCACCCGTGGGGTTAGCGGCTCAGAAACCAGACACGGCCAGGTGCCACCGCCTAAGGGTCCTCGGGCGAGTTTCTTAGTTTCTCTAAGTCGCGTATTTTTTATCTGTATAACGGGGCTTCCGTAGTGTCTTCAGTGGGTGCTGGGAGGGATAAAAGGGAATCCAGTGCCCGGCAGACAGGGAACAGGCGTTAACAGCCGCTGTTACTATTACTAGTGTTATTATTAGCAGGCAGGACCCCAGCGAGAATCGCTTTTCCCCAACTTCCTTCCTGCCGTCGCCTCAGCCTCTCTCTGCACCTCACACCCCTTTCGCACTCAGCTCTAGCCCTTCGGCTCCGCTGCCCGCGGCAGCTCTGGACTCATCCAGTCTGTCCAGCCTCAAGAAGACGAGCCCAAGGGTCAAAGATGACCCTCGACCCTCGCTCTCTTCCCGCAACTCGGATGCGACGTGCCTTGCGCGCCGGGGTTCTTGCCCAAGAACGGAGGCGCCCGGGCGCCCCTGCGCGGAACCACCGGGACCGGGCCTAGGGTCCAGAGCCGGGGCCTCGTGCTCGGTGCCGTGCAGAACGCGGCCGGGCCTGGTCCCAGCGCCGAGCACCACGCGCCCAGGGGCCTGCGGAGCCACCGCGACGCCCGGGACGCGCCAGCGCGGCCGGAGGAGAGAGCTCGGCAGGTGCCCGTCGTTCCTGTGGGTTCGTGGTAGCAGCTGCCCCAGGGGCCGGTCCGGTGGGCGAGGGCCCCGGGTACGCCCCGCTTGAGGCCGGTCCTCTCTGCGCGGGCGCGGCGCTGTGGACCAGGGGACCCAAAGAGCCAGGTTCGATTGGAGACCAACGTTTAATTTACAACTCCACTGAATCAGTGTTTTGCTTGGAAATTCATCGTGCGATATGTTTTCATTAGGTAAAAATAGGAGCTTGGGAGCCGAGCTGGAGCCGGGTTCCGACCCGCGGTCACCCGTGTTGGTGGTTGTGCTGGTCTGGCCTGGGGCAAAGGGAAGGAAGAAAACTCGGCCTCTCCTGCGGGGCTCCGGACAAGCCAAGAGAGCCTCGAGGGTCGACTCTGGGCTCAGCGACCGGCCGCACCTGGCGCTCAGACGACGTTTGTTGACCGAATAAATGAACTAATGTAGGCCTGGAGACGTGTTCGCGCAAAGGACAAGGGGGAGTTGGGCTGTGAACGGGCGAGTTCTTAGCATGAAATAGGTTCTCTTTATTCTCGACTTGTTTCCCAGCTCTTAGGCTGCCCCAGATCTGCAGAATTTGCTGAAAGGATCTTAAAGCTGAGGTGCTGAGGGTGAGACGATTGGACTGAATTCACGATTGGGCAAAGCCCAAGGAGAAAGAGGTGGATGAAGCGGAAGACGGAGGTTTGGGGGTGGCCTGCAGCCGGAGGATAGGGGCCCATGTAGGGGACTGGGGGTGCGGGCCAAGGGGGCGAAGGCTGCCTGTGCGGAGCGGGGAGTAGAATCAGAAGCTCGTGTCCCGGGGCTACCAAGGGTTGGGTTGGGAACTTTCCAGAACATTACCCCTCCTCCTCCCCCCTTCCCCGGCCCCGAATTGCACTACTGCCGACCTGGAGGAGGTGGGGATTGCCCACAGCACGTGCGGTGCACGTTCGGAATGATGGTGTGGAGATGAGACGCTGGAGCAAAACATGAACCAATTAAAGGGCTGTAAAAACCTACGCCTCTGGGGCTTCCCCCCCTCCTGTAATGAGAAATTCATAGCTGGGGCCGGGGGCGGGGGGGCGGGGGAGGCGGATGAGGGGGAACGACCTTCTCACACTCAGAGTGACTTCTTTCCAATTCTTTTGAAGAGAAGGCGCCGCGCTCAGAACAGGCAGAGCCGCGGCGGCCCGAGCAACTTGCTGTCTCTGGGGAGTATTCGTGCTGGGCATCTCTCTGCCGTCTTGTTTCCCTCTCACCCACTCACCGAAATCCAGAAAGAGTAAAAAACCTTTCTGGTTGCAAAGTCCTTTCAGAAATCAACTCTTTTCGAAACAACAGCAAAAAGTTCTTTCTTTTCTAAAGAAAGGGATTCGTAACCCCTAGAAGGCACCTGCCTGGAGAGAGAATTCGTAAAATTTTAAATGTCCAGGACACGAATGCTTCATTTGATATTTCCCTTTTCCCTGGGCCCTGGTTTTGAAAATTGTAATGCTTTTTTAAAAACTGCCTTTTATTTTCCCCGAGTAAATGTTGGCCACTACATTCCAAATTGATCTCAGATCGTTCTCCAGCTTATTCAGGAGAAAAACCAATGCCTCCAGAAAGATGGAAAATAAATGGAGAATATATTTAGATTTCCTCCAATTATTTTTATTCTACAGGTTTCATAAATACTAAATCCTTTACTTTAAAAAACAGGATCTTTTCAACTTAAAATATTTGGAAGTTTTAAAAGCCACTTTGAGAATGGGTTGTTTCTGATCTCCCTAATGAATATGAATTGTAAAACTAAATTGTTTAATTGGGAGGACAAAAACTAAGTTTTAAAAGAAGTTCCATTTAAAAAGCAAACAATGAGAAGTAATACAAAATAAACGGTTCCATGTAGTGATTTAACACTTTATTTAGTCTGAATAGCTAGGTTTAATTTTTTCCTGCCTTTTTTTTTCCTCCCCAAATCCCCCCAGTACATAGTTGTATATTTTAGTTGTGGGTCCTTCTAGTTGTGGCATGGGGGACGCTGCCTCACCATGGCCTAACAAGTGGTGCCATGTCCGTGCCCAGGATCCGAACCCTTGGCCGCTGAAGCAGAGCCCGCAAACTTAACCATTCGGCCACAGGGCCGCCCCGCTAGGTTTAATTTTAACACCTCTCCACGGAAGGTGGTACATTTGACACAGATCAGAAATAAATGCTCTGAAATTAAAATTCTACTTATATTACACATCGATTTCAGGAAGACACAGAGGGCGTACGCATTTTGCTCTTGGGAATAATACTTGCAGTTCCTAGGGGATGAAGAAGGGGAAACATGTATACTGGACACTGTATTGTCTTTGCTTTTCTTTTAATACCAGAGGAAAATGCCCCACTCACGTTCCTCTGGAACTCCTCATTTCCTCTGGAAATGTGCAAATCAGAAAAGCCCTGGAAGCCACACTTGGAGGTTGGAAAAGAAAGGGCGTTGACGCCATTGGAATTACGTTCGGTTTGTCTTAACGGGACAGTATCCAACTTTTCCTTCGTAAATATTTTTGCAGTGAATCGAAATTAGTGGTTGCTCCGCTGCGGGATTCAGATGCACCCGCCTGGTCCCGTCTGTGCAAGGCGTGTGCGGGAGGGCAGGCGGCGAGGAGAGCAGAGCCCGGGTCGCTGCGCCCTCCAGCTTGGCTCCGGGTGCGCCCCCTGGGAGTCGGCGCCAAGGCAGGGTGTGGATACTACTCAAAAGGCCGGGGAGGTTGCTCATCTCTGCCAGAATGGGTGACCAGCGACGTCAGCCTAGAGCCTTCTGCTTCGGGCTGACATCCCAGCAACGCCGCGGTGGCCGACAGGTGCCGGCACAGCAGCGCTCCCTTGCTGGGAGCGCAGCCATTGGCACAGTTCTGTTGCTGCTGCTGCTGCTGCTGCTGCTGCTGCTGCTGCTGCTGCTGCTGCTGCTGCTGCTGCTGCAGAATCGTCCGGGCAGCGGACGCGGCGGCGGCAGCGGACACGTGCAGCAAGGGGGCAGCAGCCTGGGTATGCAACAGGCACGACGGGCGCTGCAGCACGTGGCAGTAGCCCCATGGGGTCGGGGGCAGACTCTGCGCGGCCCCAGTGCCCCCTCCCCGGGCCCCTTGCATGATACTCTCGATGCTGAAAGAGGTGCATCCGCCTCCCGGCCGCGACGCCGGCCCCTTGCCTTCCTCCCAAGGCTGGGAGCCCAGCGAGGGCTGCAGGGCCGGAAGGGCGCCGGGAGTCGCCAGGTCCGCGCCGTGCGCTTTCCTCGGCGCCTCAGCGTAGGCCGGGGCAGAGAGCAGCAGGTAGCGAAAGGGATGAGGGTGCAGCAGCGCGCACGGGGTGCTCCCGGGGGCGGCGGCGGGATAGGCCCCCGGGACAGGCTGCGGCGGGGCCGGAGACCCGAGCAACAGGCCCGGGTAGGGGCCGTGCAGGGCGGCGGGCGCGGCGGGCAGGGGGAAGGGGTGATGCAAGTGGGCTCCTGGGGGCGGGTGGTGGCGCTTGAAGCGCTTCCTGCGCCGGAGGAAGCTGCCGTTGTCGAACATGTCCTGGGAGGCGGGGTCCAGGCTCCAGTAGTTGCCCTTGCCGGGGTGGCCCGGCTCGCGGGGGATCTTGACGAAGCAGTCGTTGAGGGAGAGGTTGTGGCGGATGCTGTTCTGCCAGGCCGGGAACTTGCGGCGGTAGTAGGGGAAGCGGCCGCTGATGAAGGCGCAGATGCCGCTGAGCGTGAGGCGCTTGTGCGGGCTCTGCAGGATGGCCATGGTGATGAGCGCGATGTATGAGTAGGGGGGCTTCGCCGGCTGCAGGGCATCCCCAGAGGCCGCCGCAGACCCGGTCGCTGCCCTGAACTTGGTGCCAAACTCGGAGTCGTCCCTCGGGCCGCTGCCGCTCTCGGTGCGCTCTCGGGGAAGCACGGCCGCGCCCCGCCGCGCCCCCTGAGGCCCCGGCTGGTGCAGCTGCTCTAGGAATCGCTGGCTCCCCTCTGCCCCCTCGTCTTCCTCTTCCTCCTCCTCTTCATCCTCCTCCTCTCCCAGGATATCGATCTCACCGTCTTCCCCGTCGGAGCCCCGAAGGCTGCACGGCGGTGTGGAGCGAAGGCGCTTAGCTCTTGGCAAGTTCATGGGGAAGCAGGTCCTGCAGACGCAGGAAAGGTGGCGGCCGCTCACCTGGCTCGCGGGGGACTGGGCTGGAAGCCTCCTGGGTTAAGAGTGTTCCAAAAAGCAGGAACAGTCGTGGTCAGCTTTTTAGGTGTTCTTGACTTCTGGTTTCTCCTCCTTTACAACACCGTCCAGCGGAGGCACTTGGCCTTTTATTAAAGCTTCTCGGACTCCCTGTGTGGTGGACTCCCCCCTTTATACCCCTGCTCCCGCTACCTCAGAGCGCTCCCACTTCCTCGCGACGCAGTCCAATGATGAGGGTCCGCTGCGTTACCCACAGGCGAGACTTCGGCCTCCTGCTCCTTACACCCCCACCCCCACCCCCAAGGAAGATGCTCCACTCCGGGCTTAGCCAGCCAATCGGGCCCAGAGCCACACAGGCTCTGTGAACGCGCTTTTAAAAACGCGCAAACAAAAAAGAGGTAGGAAAATAGGATACCCAACAATCCAGGGCCACCTCGATATTCAGGCCTCTCTCCTAGAGGGTAGAAATTGAGGGGCGGAGGGAGGCACACAGTGAAATGCAGACGGTGTTGGCTGTAAAAGCATGTGTAGAATATGTTTTCGCGTTTCACAGCTAGTTAATCACCCGTTTTCATTGGTGGATTCTGTCCTCGTCCAGGATGATGAGTGGAAATATTTTTAATGTTCTAACTATATCCCAGAGCTCAGGGGTTGTGAGGGGGTGTTGCGTTGTCCCTACCACCCCCCGCCTCAGCTCCCCAAAGTGTTCCCCCTGACTCAAATGTTCAGAAAAGGCTCATATGTCCTCGCCTAAGCTGTGGGAGTTCAGGGTGGAGGGAAAGCAGGCGGGGTAAAGAGTCCCCTTCCATCAGTGATTCTCGAACTCCTCCGAACATTTAACCACAGTACGAAATACATTCTATACCACCATCCTGCATAGGTAGACTTACATAACTAAAATAGGTTTCATAAAACAAGTGATCACTGACGTTTTCTCTTTTTTTTAATGGCCATGACCAACTAAATTGATTTTGCCAAAAACTAACTATTGCACACTCAGTTTGAAAAATCTTGTTTTCACAAAAATGGCCCCACAACTCCAAGGGATGCACCTAGTCTGAGAGTCAGTGTCTCTCTATCCTCCTTCCCTTCCTTCTTTTAAAAAAGGCCAACATCAAGAAGCTCTACTATAAGAATAAATACCAAACTTGCAACCTAAAGCAGGCAAGGGAGGAGCTGCAGTTTCCGCGTCTTTAACTAAATTTACTAGGTCACCATTCCTTACTCACCCCGGGGAGGAGCAATATGACGGAGAAGCTCTGCTTACCTCACTCACTTGACATCCTTGGAAGTAAGGAGATTTTTAGGGTGACCTCATTTACATCAGTTCAGAGAGTAAAGTAGCAGTAGTGTAATATAACAATGTGTGCTATATAAATAGGGACCTTACAGTAAAATACTGAGCAACAGGATATATTCATAATTTAATACCTACCTAGTTGTGAAAAGAACTTGAGGTGGCATCTAATAAAAATGCAGCACAAAAAACATTGTATTATTCCATTGAGTGGCACATAGTAATCTTCCATTAGTATCTGTAAAATGACAATGAATTTTCAGTGAGAAATCCGAAGCCAGCTAAAAGGGTCAACTATAACAAAAAAGTAGCTTAAAGTAGCTGGTCCCTTCAAGATAATATTCTGCAAACAGCTTTCTTGCAACTCTTTTTAAAGTCTCATCCTCTACCCCTGAGGTTTTTACCCTCGAAGTCTTCTCAGTTATATGTAGCTTGAAATAGGACAAATAACAGGTTTTGAGCCTAACAGATTTGTGTTTGAATCCCATCAATTACTACTTGTGTGCTCTGCTAAACTAAGCTTCAGGAGGGCTGGGACAGGTGTCTTATTCAAACTTTGGCTTCCAGGTGCCTCCCCCTCGGCCCCCTGCAGGTGAGGCACAGTTCTTCCATCAGCAGAGGAATCTGATTACCCAGAAGGGGAGCATTGTTAGTTTACCTAGAGTCAGCTTCTATGGGGATTTGGGTCATTTAAAAATGAAAGGAGAAATGTAAAGGCAGGCTAAAAAAACACACAAAAAACAAAACGACCTCCATTGATGGAGGTATGTCAAAGGGGGCACAGGAGACAAATGGAAGAGCTCCCCATGGCCAAAGCTGGGGCAATTTGAGCCACAAAATAAAATAGTATTGGGTTATAACCCAAAGTATAAAATAAATATCCATGTGTCCATATTGATAAAAAATAAATGACTGAATAAATTCATAAATGGAGGGAAAGAGGCAAATCTGCCTTGCAGAATTCGAAATAAATTATGTAGAAACTCTGCCCTCAAGGAGGTGGAGCCTAACTCCCACTCCTTTACTGTGGGCAGAGCAGTGACTTCCTTCCAAAGAGAACAGAATGTGTGGGGGTGCGGTGTGGGGGGGAGGGGGCAGGAGAAACCTAACCAACACATCAGCCAGGTGATCAACGTCAACATCAAGAATCATAAATCATGTTGACAGTATGGACCCTTGATGTGATGTGATGAAAATGGTGCTCTGTGATCTTGCTCCCCCAAACCTGTCTAAATCAGGGAAAAAACATCCAAGTCTGTAGAGGAGCATCTTATGTACTCCTCAAATCAGATCAGTACTCCTCAAAACTATCAAGGTCACCAAAACAAGGAAAGTCTAAGAAACTGTCACAGCCAAGAGGAGTCTAAGGAGACATGACTGCTGACTGATGTGGGGTCCTGGATGGGATTCTGGGACAGAAAAAGGACAGGAGGGAAAAACGGGAGATTTGAATAAACTATGGATTATAGTTAATAATAATGTATCAATATTGGTTCACTAGTTGTAACAAATGACCACACCAATGTAAGATGTTAACTGTGTGTATGGTGGGTGAATAGGGGAACTCTCTTGTACTATCTGTTCAATTATTCTGAAAATTACATTCTATTAATTTAAAAAACTTAAACATAGGCGGAAAGGGCCTAATAACCAAAAAGTAGAAACTCAAATGTCCATCAAATGATGAGTGGATAAACAAAACGTGGTTTATAAGTAGAATTTTATTCAGCAATAAGGACACAACGTGCTGACACATGCTACAACATGGACTAACCTTGAAAATATTATGGTAAGTGCAAGGAGACCAAACAGGCAAGTCTACAGAGAAAGTAGATTAGTGGCTGCTGGGGGCTAGCTGCAGGAGGAAACAGGGAGCAAGTGCTCATGGATACAGTTTCTTCTGGGAGTGACAGAGGTAGTGGTTGCCACTACCTGTAGATATACTAAAGCCACGAAATGTACACTTTAAAAGGGTAAATTTTATAGTATATGAATTATATCTAAATAAAATTGTTATACAAAATATATCCATGTAAAAACAAAAAGCTATATTGATGAAAACTAAATTGAATGCTTTGGAAAGACTCCATTATGAAAGAAAAAAGAAAACTCTTACTGTCTGTCCCATCAATTCTTTAGTGTTGTCTTACGAATCAAAAGCCTTATTTTGTGGCTCCTGCAACATTTGGCATGGGGCCTAGAGCACAGTGGGCATTCGATGGCATCTGGTGATTATTTCTTTCCTAACTCTGAGTAAGTTTTTTCCTGAATAAAACTATCAGGAGCTCACAAAAATGCATCCTAGTTTGAAAAACCAACCTTCCTAAACTAATCCAAAGAAAGGATGATTTCGCTCCATTTTACTCTGAAAATTAAAGGCAAGTTGGTCATCAAGAGTTAAAGTTGATTCTAATATTAAGACTAATTCTGAGCAAAAAAAACCTAGCCTATCTTTCTTTTTCATCAAAGTAGGGCAAATTGCTAGACATTCAAAGGCAGAATTCACTTCTTTCAACATCACCTCCACAATGTATGGCATTTCTAGAACTGGGAAAGCCATTTCAAAGCAATCTAAAAAGATAGTTTTCCCACCTATCCTAGCATGTAATCCAAATGAGACAATTATTCAATTTGTAGCAAGCAAGTCAGTCCATAAATGTTTAAAAGCCTTTTTAACTCTATTTTGTTGACAGTTCCCTTCAAGCTTTACGATCTAGGAATTACAGAGCCTTTCCATCTTCTGGTCTCCCCTCTCACCCCGTGCTGACCCTTCCTACAACAATCTTAAACTCAGTACCAATGCACTTGCCCCTTTCACTAAAAGCTGGAAAAAGCCTAGGAAAGAACTATTTGTTTTAAGAAGGTACGCAGAAGCTTGAATTTTTTATCAAGTTTTGCTGGAAAAGGAGAATTCACATTTACTGATACTCTATATTCAGGGTGCTTTAAATTTAATCCCTGGAACAACCCAGAGGGATCTGTGTTTTATCTCCATTTTATAAATAAGGAGGCAAAGGCTCAGAGAAATTTAGTAATTTATCCTGTATTACTCAGTAAACTATAACGTTTTAGATGAACTATGCCTAAACTTGATTATCATTGTTATCACCAATAAGCTGCAAATTTTCTATAGTTAGCAGAATAACAAAACATGTTATTTAGTTAATGAGTTATAGATTTGCATTATAAAAATAAAATTTTCTCTCGAGGCTATCTATGGCATGTTCCAAAGTCCTTTGATGTGCAGGTTAAACTGATAATGGCTCTAATCACTGAAAAATATTTCCTTTTGGGAAAAATCAGAATGAAGAACAGGACAATGCATCTTTAAAAGAATATATAAACAACGTAAAAATACAGTATAAAGTCTAAATTAAACAGTGAGAGGTCATTCCACCCAGATTGGCAAAGGTTAAAATGTGTTAGCTAGGATTAGAAAAATGGGTAGTTTCATACACTGCTCTATAAAGGCAAAAAGGTACAGCCATTTGGAAGGACAATTTATCAGTATCTGTAAAACTTTCTGAATGTGCATCTCCTGGAAGCTAGTGATCCCACCCTTACCTATCTACTCTAGAGAAACATTCTGACACAAGAGCAGAAAGACACGCACAGTGATGACTGCAGCACTGTTCACAATTTCACAAATGAGAAACAATTGGTTCATGGGCCAAAGCAATCACATCCAGCTCACTTCTGCAACTAAAAGCCCTGAGCCACTTCCCAGGGCATTCAGAAGAATCCGGATGTTTTGCTCGGTCCTATAAGGAGCAACAAGCCTGGCCTTGGTCACAACTCCAATTCCACCTCACACTCTGGATTTCTAACCTCCCGCCACCCTCGCCTTCTCCCTGGTCTTCCAACACCCTATGCTGGTTCCCACCTAAAGGGCCTCTCCACTACTTGCCCCCTCTGTGTAGAACCTTCTCCCCTACTCTACATGAACCACTCCTTTAAGTCCGTTCTCAAGAAGCCACCTCTCCTCAGGGAAGCTTTCCATGACCACTCAATCTAAAGCTGATCTTTATCAGCCTTCTTAGGGCTGCCTCCTATTTTCTCATTGTTTTAAGTCCCTCCACCAGAATGTAAGCAGTATGAGAACCTGGCCTTTACTTGCCATGTATGGTTTCAGCCCCAGCACTAATGCCTGGCCAAACTGGAAGCTCTCAGTAAATGCTTTTTTAAAATTAATGCAATCTATGCTATACTATGAATTTCTATGCAGTAGTTAAGGAGTAAGACATATTTAGATTCACCATCATGGAAAGATCTAAGACTAATAATTGAGTTTCTAAAAAAGCAAACTATTACAACCTATAAAGAATGATGTATTATTTAAAACACACAAAACCTTTCCTTGAGGATATTTACAGCAAGTTTGTAAGCTTCCTGAAGAAATCGCTTAAATTATGGTTCTAATCACTGGAAAATAAATCACTTTGGGAAACAATGTAAACCATAATGTGTAAGTGAAAAAAAACATCTAAAAGGAGAGACATTAAACTGACACCACCGCTTACCCCTAAGAAATGACAGTGACCAAAGGACAAAGGCCAGGGGAGACTGACTACATCTGTAATATGTGCACTTTCACAACCCGAATGTATTCATGCAATACTTACGTAATGGAAAATATCTAAAGATTAATTTACTTGATTTTAAAGGAAAAAACCAAATATTTATGAGTTTTATACATACAGATTTTTAAGAGTATACATTACGACTACTTCAAACATTTCTCCCACAACAGGACACTTAATTATAAGCCCTTTCTCATGCTCTAGAACAGATGAATCTAGACACTTATTTGCCAAAGAACATTACATATTATCATGACCACATTAATTATAAGACTAATTTAAATTGTGTAGAAGAAGAAAACATTTATCTAGGCTCTGCTGTGTGCCAGGAGCTAAGTGGGTGCACTATAAAACTATTTCATCCTCATAACAATCTTGAATGGTTGATATTATTACCGTCCACTTTATAAATAAGGAACTAGTCTCAGAGAAAATACTTTGCCCAAGATTACACAGCCAAGAAGCAGCAGAGCTGGAATAAAGCCCACACCTGACTCAAAACTCAGCTGACTTCCTAGTGGGCAATTTGCTGCCATAAAATAAGTGTATTCTGTCAACTATGAAATAAGAGAATGGATTCAAGAAGCAAGTACATGAATACAGAGTGGTTACATAAAAAAGATATAGAATGCACCAAAAAGTAGACACTTCATTTCAATAATTAGCCTGCCTCCAACCACTGGAGCCATTCAAGATACACAGATGTAACTCTTTTACTTAATGTTCTGAAACAAAATTCCAAAAGCCATTTTCATAGCCTTCTGATATTTAACAACCATTATTTTAGGAAAGCTCTTCCTTAAATTCCATCTAACGCCTTTCTCTTACAATTTGAATACAGTTATGCTCACCTGGCCTTTAGCAGAAAAGGGAGAAAAGTAAGCCATTGTATATTCACACACCAACCATTTATATAAAGATTGTTAAATTATCAAAAGTTAATTGTAGTTATACCTGAAGTTTTGTACCTGGTTACTTTTGAGCTTACACTGAACATTAAAATTGTTCAAAAAAACCAAGATGAATTTAAAATTAAGAGCTCTAAAACTGGAATCTTCTAAACAAAAAGTGAATGGCTGAAGTTTCAATACAGTGACTACCAGCAAGGCTTAGAAGTGACTAAGAGATGGTTTCATTTAATTTCTTTGACTCGGATTTCTTCCACTTATAAGCTTCTAGCCACAACAAACCTCTTATTTCATTTGATAAAAATAGTGACATTATTTGTTTTGTAAAATTCTTAATAATAATAAAATTATGATATGTATGCAATGAGCTGAAGTTCTAAGGGCAAATGACAAGGTTGAAGTTTTATCATTATTATTAAATAACCTTCCTGGGTGAGAAATTCAGCCTATGCAAACTCTAAAGCCAATTCTAAAAGACATTTTTGTGAAATATCTATCTCCAAAAAAAACACTTTAAGGACATTATATTTTATTGAATGAATATCAAATGTTTTACAGTACTGATTTACTATATCTTATGTATTATATAAAATAAATACTATTTTAAAGTACATTAGTACATTGCAATTTATAACAGAAGTAATGCCAAAAAAGATGCTTGAAATGTAGCCAGTAAGAGACACTTATTGCCAATTTTATCATCCGATCTTTTGATAAGAAATGCTTGCAGTGTTATGGACAAACTTGATCTTCTTTGAAATGTGCTGTCCACCGCTTTTCTGTTTCTGTCACAGTAGCTATAAATAGTTGTTTAAGGATATCCTCATCTAAATTCCTGCCTGCAAACAGAAAAAAATATGGTGTGATTATACAATGCTTATTAAAATGACACAGGTTACCTATCAATTCCAGATCATTAAAGGCTTGATGATCTTCAGAAATTTACAAAAACAAAAGTAACTGAGTGATTCCTTAACTCTCTAGTTAAGTCCCTCAGAAGTAAACTGGCACTTGGATTAATCACTTTTCTAAAATTCTCTGAAGAAGAGTAAAAGGCCTAATGAGTTCTTATGAATGTTATCACATGATTAAGACAAATATATTAACTACAAGCTTATTTAGGTTTACAAAAGGGGTTCTCGCTGGTTAATACTGCTTATGTAGCACATTATATCCCTTTCAAATATATTTTTTACTGTGTTTTAGAAATTTAACTGTTTGTCACTTACCAATAAGAACCAATCGATTTGTTCTCTCAGTGTCATCTCTCCAGCTCACTGGAGTCTCCTCCAGATCATAGAGCTCATGGACACCTTGGACAATCACTTGTTGTGGTCTGTCTTTGATTGACACCAGCCCCTGTTGAAAGGAGAATGATCACCCAGTCCCAGTTCTAACTTAAAAACAGAAATTGAGCATCAAGGTTCATGGATTAATTATTCCTATTCCTAAAAAAGAAACTCATAAAGGAGATGCTATTAAAATTACTTATTTCCAGTTATTTGTGCATTAAAGAAACAGTTCTTAAAGCCTCCAATTTTTAAAAAAGGTTTCCATGCACACTGATTTTTTCAAACAATCCCTTTTTGTAATGATAAAATTAATGCATGTATTAGGACGTTCTTTCACTGTTCTCTTTATCACGACAAAAAACTGAAACAACAAAAGGATAAAACAAATCTGATTCTACTGATTATTCTACTCTTAAGAATTTTATACTTGTTTCAGTTTTAATGGGAAAATGTGAGAAGTTAAAGGATTTTGGTGACAAAAAATTTGTTTTTGAATAGGTTGCAACAAATGGAGTAGATGATGAAATAAAGAAAGAAAAACTATTTATCTGAATAAAAGTTCATTTTATATTGATTCACAGAAATAATGAACAAATTATCCAATAAACTGGCTCCTATGGGGATGAAATAATTTCTATGAAATGTTTGTCAAACCTATTTGTTTTAAAATTAATAGATATATTGAAAAATAGTAAAAGACAAACAACTAATATCTCATCACACAATTTTTTGTGTATTTTGAGTGTATGTTCTTCCAGTTTTTCTTTTCCTATGCCCAGTTTTTTCTTGTTTTTTTCCCCTAGTTTTATTGAGATATAACTGACATATGACACTGTATTAGTTTAAGGTGTACAATATAATGATTTGATTGCTCTCTGATTTTTAAATTTGAATTTTAATACGTAATAACAAACTCCTTGGAAAGAATTACCTAGGCATCAATTTTGTGTTACTTGTATAAAGACTTTGAAGCTTTAGCTGTTACTAGAGTTGACATTTTAAACATGTTGCTTATTATAAGACTAATATTTTCTAACAGGAAGGAGAAGGAAGTCTGTGAAAATAAAGGCTGTGTTGCCCCAGATCCCCGGGTGTTGTGATGAGGAAGGCCAAAGGAAGAACCAAGGACAACTGCAGAAACAACTCTCACATACCTAAGGACAGAATCCAAACTGAGATGGTGCAGGAGGAGACATGGACTCCGTGCAGAGGTCTTGATGGCAGCATTGGTATAAATGCCCAGCGGCTGCTGTTCTAGCTCACCCCTCACCCCATTCAGTACAAGGGGATAAAAGCAGCTAGAGCAGGAAACATGCTTTGCCAGTTAGGATCACGGCATGGAGATGGTGCTCCAGTCATAAAGCAGAATCAGGGTCTGGCTTGGTTCCTCTGGGTGAGAATGATCTGGGGGTGGACTGGCACTCACCTGTGTCGCTCTGCAGCACCAATGCCAGGCAGAGCCAGCACAGGGAGTGAAGAAATCTGAACCCAAACCGTTTCTCAACAGTCTCAACCCGTGTTATTCTAGTGACCCCAGGAAGTCAGTCACTAACTGGAGAGCCTAGTCACTAACAGTAATACTAATAAACAGTAACAAGAAAAAACTTCATGCACACTTCTGGAAACACAACAGTAGACACTCACATGACTGCTGACGGTTAAGCACACAAAAAGCTTTGTGACATACATACCCAAATGTCAAATAGTAGGAATGGTTTCCAAACAGAGAACAAGAATTCTTCTAGTCTTTTTAAACTGTGTTTATAGCATGACAAATGTTTAGTGTCTGCTAAATGCATCAAGAAGCATAAGTTTTAGGGGCCAGCCTGGTGGCACAGTGGTTAAGTTCACACGTTCTGCTTCTCGGTGGCCCGGGGTTCGCCGGTTCAGATCCCGGGTGCAGACATGGCACCACTTGGGAAAAGCCATGCTGTGGTAGGCGTCCCACGTATAAAATAGAGGAAGATGGGCATGGATATTAGCTCAGGCCCAGTTTTCCTCAGCAAAAAGAGGAAGATTGGCAGTAGTCTTATATAATTAGTCTTCTAATAATAGTCAGGGCTAATTGTCCTCAACCAAAAAAAAAAAAAGCAGCATAAGGTTCAGCTGCAAAAGGAGTTCTAATATTATTTCTCTGTTAAGGAAGCTCTCTTGGAGAAATAAACACAAGAAAACGTTCACTTTTCTCTGACTGACCACACTGTGTGCCAAGGGCAGGAGAGTTTCAACGACTCAAGGTCATTAGCCAGGTAACTGCTCCGAACACCTGGGAGGACAGGGCGGGGGTCAAGCACACAGGTTGTTGAAGCTGCAACCCTAAATGAAGCTGTGCAAACAAATCATGCTTTATGCAGTGATTTCCAAAGCATCTTTTGAGCAATGGAAATAAGGAAAAACGAACATAGACAAAGGTTATCTGTACCAAAATCAGTGCTTCTGTTTAAAACCAAATATGGCTTTATACAACAGCCAAGACAGGGACTTTGTCCAAAAGTCTAAGACTGTGAACTGTATACCGCACCTTTAGTCGTATGACTTCCATGCAGGCATCATCCTTGTTTCTCACATTCTTTTCCCACAGAAGATTCTGCATCAAGTGACATATTTTAATAAGACCAACCATTGCTAATAGCAACAAGTATGTAACAAAACAGCTGATAAATCATTAATCAGTTAAAAACTGCATTCACCTGAATAAATACATTCAGACTTTCTTCCTTTGCATTTCCTGGCACTTCAAATGTGACTGTGACAACACTCTGTAAATCAAGGAAGATAATCACTAATGATTTTTTTATAGTAAAGTCAATACATTTTTTAAAACCCTAAGTTTTAAGACAAAAAGTAAGGAGCACATTCACTGAAATTTATGCTGCCTAACAACAGATATTAGGCATATCTTTTTCACTGTACTTGCTGACTTTTGGTATCAGCAACTTCATTTTCTATATTCTGCAGAGTTGATCAATGGGTTAGTACTTGCAGAGAAACTCTCATGACAGGGTTCTCATTGTTTAATTGACTCTCCAGGATTCTGAGCACTAAGAGGGAAGGTAATATACACAGTGTATCAACTATGACCTGAGCCAGGTACTTCTGTCTGGGTCACTTCATCTTTTCATTTACTCATCATAACAATCCTGCGGAATACAGAGAATTATTTCCATTTTATAAATCGGGAAAAAGGAGCCTCAGAAAAAATAAACTACCTGGGTGCCAGGAGTAAAACTCAAAAGCAAAAGTGTAATTCTATTCTCTGGGAAAAATAAATACAAAGGAAAGATTTGGCTTATCTCTGACCAAGCATGTGCCAAGGGGAGAAGAGCTCCTAGAGACGGGAATGATAGTCTCATGTCACCTTTGGTTTAGAAGTTGACATCATCATTTACAGAATGTTAACTTTGAGATTTATTTTTCCTCCTGATCTTGATAAAGCTCACTGCCCACTCTAAGGAACCAGAAGCTGCAGATTTCCTCTAGCAGGTCACACAATTAAAATCCAAACCTCCGTCTGCTACTGTAACCCAAAATTTCACACTTAGTGATAAAAATATACAAGGGCTAAGCACACCCGATAAAAGCACAAACCCCACCTTGGATACTGAGAGTAAATGCCCAAGTCAAGCTTAAAATGGTTTAAAACAGGCAGAAAGAACACAGTAAAGCACAGCTTTGCATAACTTCCTAGAACCGAATATCTAAACAGCAGTTCCACTCACCAGTAGAAAATAATACAGGCTAAATACGAAAAGACAGTAACTGTTTTTAGCCAAACACAGTTAGAGAATAGCTAAGTATTAAAGACCAATTTAGGCACAAAATATATTGACATTTAGTCTCCACTGTTGCTAGTAACAGGAAAAGCAGAAAGCACTTTCTCGCTCAGATAGAAGTACAAGCCGACTAAAACTGGACTTTAAAATGTCAGAATTTTAAAAGTACTTATTCTGTCACAATAGCCAAGAAGTAGAAACAATGTATCACTAACAAATGGATAAAGAAAATGCAGTTTAATAATGTAATATAAAAATGTGGTATAATAATGGAATACTACTCATCCTTAAAAAAGGAAATCCTGTCATGTGCTACAACACAGATGAGCCTTGACGACATTATGCTAAGTGAAATAAGCTAGTCAGAAAAGGACAAATATTATATGGTCCCATGTATATGAGGTATCTAATGGAAAAGTCCTAGAGAACTGCTGTACAACAATGTGCATATAGTTTAACAATACCCTATTATACACTTCAAAATTTATTAAGAGATCTCATGTTATGTTTTTTTACCAAAATATATTTTACTTTTTAATTCTTTTTTTGAAGAAGGTTAGCCCTGAGCTAACACCTGCTACCAAGTCTCCTCTTTTTGCTGAGGAAGATTGGCCCTGAGCTAACATCCATGCCCATCTTCCTCTATTTTGTAAGTGGGATGCTGCCACAGCATGGCTTGATAAGCAGTGCGTAGGTCCACACCTGGGATCCAAACCAGCGAATCCTGGGCTGTGAAAGTGGAGCAAGCAAACTTAACTGCTGTGCCACTGGGCCGGCCCTACCCCAATTTTTTTTTAAGTGCTCATTTTTAATTCTTAATAAATACATTCTGCTTTTAAATTATTCATTTTTATAAATTTAAGGTAACAACAGTATGCATTTAAACAAAATGACAGTCTTCTTTCCTCCTTAAAGCAACCACTATAAATAATGCCTAAAAGTCCATATCAAAATGTACAGCAAACCATATAGCATATCGAAATACACAGCAAAAGGCTGCCAAATGAAACAGTTTCAAAAGACAGTAGTAATTCAACCTTCAACAATGCTTAAAATATATTTTATTCAAGCGAGATAACTTGGCTTTCAATATTGGGAATGTCTTGACTGGATATTGCTTTATTCTACTGCTTTACTCTTAGCTTAAAGATTTTTGTATCAAGGATGACTTTGCTTTTGACAGGTTAGAGATATGATAATATTTCTAAGAGGTACAATTAATGCCAGTGTGAGCTAAAAAAAACTTTTAAAACTTAAGACAATGCATCTTGGAGGTCAAGGAGAGAGAGAATACATTTCAGAAGTAGATGTTTTTCTGTACTAATAAACTCTTGCCATATTAGACAAACCTTGAAGAAGATGAAACCCATACATTCCCAGTGCAGATGAGGGTCACAAGTCCTAACTGGCTCCATTAATAAACATGCATAGATTGCCACTTAAGTCTCCTCATCTACCTTCCCACCTTCCAACCCCAGGTGCTCCTTATAGGGAGTGAACAAGAAATTCATCAAAAATAGAGAACTGTATTAAACATTTATTCAGGAATAAAATTTTAATAACATACATAATATGTCCTAGGTATTACCCATTTCAGACTTTTTTTCCCCAGTTTATTTTTGTTTTGAATCTACAATTAACTCTCCTTTTCCCACGTCTGCAGACACAAAGCAAAATCCGAAGGCAGGCAAACTGAAGAGCAGAAAACTGAGGCAACAATTCAGAAAACTAAAGCAAAACAAGGTAATGCCCCCAAAATAAAATTTAGGACTGAGTCCTAAATTTTAGGAGTTTGTTTGGGCAGGTTTTTCTTTACGCTACCCACCAGTTTTTCTCTCAGTTTTCTACTCTTTTGCAAACAATACCTAATATGCAATAACTTCTATATGCTTTCTTCATCTGGAAAACTAAGCCCGCTAGCATGCTTACACCCAAAATCTGTGAGCCACGCTCCAGTCCTCTGCTCCTCTTTGCCTGTGTAATCTCTACTGTGACATCCTGCCTCCAGGTACAAAGCTGAATATTTGGCATTTTCATCCAAATCAGTTTACCTTCCAGCTTTCTCTTTTTCTAGGTTCCTCTAGTCAGTCTAAGCTTGTTTCCCATCGCTTCTCTCTCTTCTTACTGCTTCATCACCAGTCAGTAAGTCTGCCTGTGAAACAGCCCTTAATTTGTCCCAGTTCCATTCTCACTCTAACCAACAGAGCCCAGGCCCTCATCACAGGGTGTCCGGACGTCTGCAGTATCTTCCTGCTTGGTCTCATGACTCTCCGCTCCAATCCAGCTTACCTGACACTGCCTGACGGCACAGCATGCGTTCTCTCTGCCTAGCAAATCAAAGCCCAACACCTTAGCTCAGGATTCCAATACCAAGCATTCTGCACTAGAGTCCTGCTCTTCTAGAGCATTCTTACTTTCCCACTTTTAAACATCTGGATTGCTCTTTCCATTACTTCTTCCAGTCAAAAAATCTACCAGTTCAAGGTTACTTTTTGATCTGTAAGTCAGAATAGCAGTTACCTCTTTGGGAAAAGGAGAGTCTGACTTCCAAATCTTCTACATTTTGGTCAGAGTGGGAATCGCAGGAATATGTGTTTGTGTGTGCATATGCACAGACATATAGGTACAAATATATGTAAAGGTATACTGACTTCTACACTAAAATCCTGTATGCTTTAATGTATGTACAAAAAAAAATACTATTTTTCACAAAGCCTCAGATCCACTAAAACAAATGAGACTGTTCACGCCTCTGAATCCCAGAGCCCTTTTCTGCAATATTATATTCTTCCCTATTTTATATATCTAAAGCAGGAAAGTGCATCAGAATATCCTATAGAACTTAAAAAAATAAACTATTTACTAGTGAAATGACATAATGTCTGGGATTTACTTTAACACACTCCAGCAAGACTGATGGGTACATGCAAGTTCATTATACTATTCTACTTTTATTTATGTTTGAAATTTTTACTTAAAAAAAGTTTGGGGGCCAGCCCTGTCGAGTAGTTGTTAAGCTCTGAGCACTCTGCTTTGGTGGCCCGGGTTCGCAGGTTCAGATCCCAGGGATGGACCTACACCACTCGTCAGCCATGCTGTGGCAGTGACCCAAATATAAAGTAGAGAAAGACTGGCACAGATGTAGCTCAGGGCTAATCTTCCTCAGGAAAAAAAAAAAGTTTAAAAAATACTCCAAGAAAAGAAATGTTGAGAGGACAGATGAAATAAAGTCAGTAAAACGTTGATGGCTGCTGCAACTGGGTCATGCATACAAGGGGTTCATTTTACTATTTTCTCTATTTTTGTGTATCTTTGAAATTTTCTGTAATAAAATGTTAAAAATATACATATCCATTAATATGAACATACTCAAGTCCTACTTCTGGAGCTATGAGGGGCAGGGACTAGGGAGTATCCAATTTTTTTAAAAAAGCTCCATAACTGATTCTGATGTATACCCCTATTTGAGAATCACAGCTTTTCATTCTTTTAACATATTCACTGTGCACCCACCATATGCCAAGCTCTGTGCTAACCAATGAGGAATTTATATTTAAGGAATTTATAGACTACTGCAAAGGAAAAACATTTCAACCCAAACTACAAGGCATTATAAATGTCATGATGGGGTACATTTAAGATACTATGGGTGTAGATACTGGCCATTATAAAGGTTCTTCAAAGTAAGTACTACATACTCTTTATCTTTTAATCCTTATGAGTCTTAGTATGCCCTTCACCCAGAAGGCCAGCAAGAATGTACTTCAAGTTCATTTTTCTTTTTTGAGGAAGATTAGCCCTGAGCTAACATCTGCTGCCAATCCTCCTCTTTTTGCTGAGGAAGATTGGCCCTGAGTGAACATGCGTGCTCATCTTCCTCTATTTTATACGTGGGATGCCACCTCAGCATGGCTTGATAAGCAGTACACAGGTCCGCACCCAGGATCCAAACCAGCGAACTCCAGGCTGCTGAAGTGGAACATGTGAAATTAACCACTGTGCCACCAGGCTGGCCCCTACTTCAAGCTCATTTTTATGACTAATGTTGAGTGCTGTTGCTTTTTCCAAAAATTCTACCACCAGGGACTTTTATTTCTTTCATTCATTCTTCTATTAAGGTAAGTTTCTCAGAGAGAAGTGCCTCAAACATGGTAGTAAGCTTCCCATAAATATGAGCCAAAATGAAGACAGATGAACAAGTGGCTGTTGTTATCTGGGACCTATGAGAATTAATTATCATTCAAAAAATGAGGGACAGTCTCAAGACAGAGGGGGGAAGACTAGGTACACTGCTCACTCCCAAACCCCCTTCCTCTCACTGTGTTTAAACGGAACAAAGAAGTTACCCTAAAGCTCCCCCATCTAGGACTTGCCTAAACGAAGGATAGGTACAGTGAAAATATATTTCGTTTGTTCTTAGCATCTTTGATATTCACCTCAGGAATTAGATTTTAGAGCATGAAAAACACCTTAGGGAATTCAAATTTATAGTGCTATCTGAAGGTGAAACTCAAAGCCAATTTTTAATTAAGCCATGGATACTTATACCAGACTTTTCCTTAATAAGTTATTTTTTTTTTACTTAATATAGTTGAAAATAGGCTGCACAAAGAAACCCCGGACAGCTTTTAAGCAGTAATTTCCATCAGAAGAACTGATCACAATAAGCTGAGTGACCTGAAGAATGGAGAAGCTAGAAAGCGTGACTTCCTAGGATTCTAAACAACTCTGGTTTGATGACTTCCTATTATGCGTTAATTAAGAAGCCAGATTAGATGATCTCAAAAGCATTCAAATTCTGAAAAGTATCAACAGTTCAAAAATACTTTCTAAGAAAGAGTTCTAACAAAAGAGTCCTAAACAGAACCAATTTCGTTAAAGAGATACTTTAAAAAGACTTTTAAAGATCTTTTTTACCTGATCAAGGTGAGGTTGTGCTGTTGGCAAATGTTGAAGTTTTTTCTGCAAACTAAGAACAACTGATTATAAATTCAGAGACCAATACACTCCTAATTTAACCTTATACATTACTTAGAGATGCAAAGCTAAATAAGAAAGAAACTTTACACAGTTAAATCTATTACATAGTTCCAATTTTACATGCTGTTCACATATTAGAGAAAAGCTGGTGGATTGTTTAAAATTTCTTAAAGTTGTTGTAACTGTTTAGAATTCTTAATAGTTTTAAGAATTTCATTTAAATTTACTTATTTTATTTAAATTTTACTTAAATTTATTTTATTTAAATTTAATTTCAACAGTTTGAACTGTTCAAAAATTCTTTAAAAAATTCACATACATACATATATACATGATATAGAGAAAAACTAATCTTTAGAAACACTATTTTGTGTGATCAAATATGTCAGTGGATTTCTTTTAAATTCCAATAGATCTAACATAAACCTAGAAAAATATACATAAGCATTTTACTACAGCTTGAAATTTTATCAACTCTCCCCATGCTTCCTAATATGAAAATGCTGGTACCTAAAGAAAGTTAGAAGGGTAAATTTTCCTTTATCAATGTTTTCCCTTGAACATATCCACTTATTGAAAAAACAATAGTAGGGGCCAGCCCCGTGGCCGAGTGGTTAAGTTCGCCGGCCACACTTCAGCGGCCCAGGGTTTCGCCAGTCAGGATCCTGGGCGCGGACATGACTCCACTCATCAGGCCATGCTGAGATGACGTCCCACATAGCACAACCAGATGGACCTACAACTAGAATACACAACTATGTACTGGGGGGCTTTGAGAAAAAGAAGAAAAAAAGATTGGCAACAGAAGTTAGCTCAGGTGCCAATCTTTAAAAAAAAACAGTATCCATAAATATAAGTCTTCTATGTAGTTAATTACTGGTGATTGAGAGAGAACAAAAAGTCAGAATCTTAAAAATGCACTGTTCTGATAAGAAAAGAGCAAGAAGATCAAGATGGCACAACAAATTACAGCCATAACAACTGTAGCATACATTTTGACACTGATGGGGGTAGGCTGGGAGGAGGAAAAGGACTTAAAACCTTGCAGATGTTCAGCCTTGAAGAACAGTAAGGGGTAAATTAGTAACAGCCAGTTTAGGAAAGAGAGGAGGCTTGTAGGAACTGTTGGAGGAATGAGTCTCACTGGGGGGTCTGAGTAGGAAAAGTGTCAAATTAAATCCTTCCCAGCTGGTTGCTCAGGAAAGCATTCTGTTTGGCAACTAAACACAATGAAAAGTTATGCAAAGGCCTTATCCATAGCAGGCCATCACACTGAAAAGCTACTTCTTTAAGTGTCACCAATGCATTATAACAGTTTTAAGAAAGTATGGAATGAAATTACCTTAGAAAATGTTTCAAAAGTCTTATGCTTTTCCCTTTGCTCAATATTTAATGTTGCTGGACAATGAGTGCCTAAAACTTCCGTAAGGAAGGAAAATGTTTTCCTTTACCCTCCTAGGTCCCTGGCTGGGTCTGAAAATTAGACTGAGAAAGATAGATTCACAGGAGAAAAGCAAACAAATTTATTTAATATAAGTTTTATGTGACACAAGAGCCTTCATAAGAAAAAGAAAACCTGAAGAAATGGTTAGACCTGAGTGTTTTTATGCTAGGTTTGATGAAGAGTGGAAAGTCCTGGAAAGGTATAATAAGACAGAGTACAAGCTAAGTGTAGTAAACCGGGGGGTAACTCAGCAAGGGCTGTTTCTTCAGATTCCTCAGACATAAGGATGCTCCTTTCCTCTGGGTATAAGGCGGGTACCTCTCACGTGAGGGTCTTATGACTCATCTACTTCAGAGGAAATGGAAGAAAATATATGTAAATCATGTATCTGATGAGGGGTTAATACCTAGACTATATAAAGAACTCCTATAACTCAGCCACAACAACAAAAAAAAACAATCTGATTAAAATATAGGCAAAGTACTTGAATAGACATTTCTCCAAGGATAATATACAAACGGCCAAGAAGCCTATGAAAAGATATTCAGTATCTCTATAATCATTAGAGAAATGCAAATCAAAACCACAATGAGCTATCACTTCACACCCATTAGGACAGCTACTACCAAAAACAACAGAAAATATCAAGTGTTGGCAAGGATGTGGAGAAACTCGAAACCTTGTGCACTCTCGGTATGAATGTAAAATGGGGCAGCTGCTATGGAAAACAGTATGGCAGTTCCTCAAAAAATTAAAAATAGAACCACCATGTGACCCACTAATTTCACTTCTGGGTACGTATCCAAAAGAATTGAAAGCAACATCTCAAAGAGATATTTGCATACCCATGTTCACAGCACCATTATTCACAACAGCCAAGAGGTGAAAGCAACCCAAATGTCTATCAATGGATAAAGAAGATGTGGCATATACATACAATGGAATATTATTTACCCTTAAAAGGAGGGAAATTCTGTCATTTGCTACCACAAGGATAAACCTTGAGGACTAAGTGAAATAAGCTAGTCACAATAAGACAAATACCATATGATTCCATTTATATGAGGAATCAAAAGTAGTCAAATTCATAGAAACAGATAACAGAAAAGTGATTGCCAGGGGCTGCAGGAGGGGAAAAAAGGGAGTTGTCATTTCATAGGTATAAAGTGTCAATTTTGTAAGATGAAAAAGTTCTCTAGATCCACTGAACAACAATATGAATATACTTAACACTACTGAATGATACACCTAAAAATGGTTAAGATGATTAAAAAAAGGTACTGATGTCCAGGGAAGAAAGATACGTTCTCCTTCTTATCAAAACATTCCCTTTGGGGAAAACGACAGGAAACTGACCCATTACTCAAGGGAAAGAAGCTGTCTGTGGGAACACCCCAAGCTAAAATTTTCTATGTATTTCCTGCATTTTCTCATAGGAAGAAAGTGTTACACATATCTGGCGTAGTAATATTAACAATTAGTCTTTAAAGTTAACTACCATTTATACTATAATTCCTATACGAAAATGCATTGTGATTTCCAAACATCCAATTAAAAAAACATTCAAGAACATAACCATTAGGAATGGCCTTGTATGCCAAAGGAATGATAGGAAGCTTAAATCAAGTGTGCAACTGCGTAAATCATTCCTGTAACTGTTCCAACTGTGGAATAAAAGGTAGATTACAATAAAAGTGACCAAAATACAGGAAACATACCTTACTCCAGAGAGACTGTCAAAGGCATGCAGATCTAATACATTAGAGAGATCAACTCTATAAGGAAGAAAACCAACACGGTGTGAAATATACTCAATTAATTATGAAAAAAAATCTCTAAGGCTCTTTTGCCAAAAATATAGACAAAGGTTAATCAGTATATCACACTATTTTTGGAAACACCTAAAAATGACAGGCAAAGAACAAAAAGTTTGTTGTAAAAATTTTTTTTATAAAATTTATACATAAAATTCAAAAAACTGGGTGAATGATTAAAGATCAAGGCAGAAAGTTACGTGGTTATTGCTTCAAAAAGTTACAGTTTGTTTCTTGTTTTTCTTATTTTCGATTGCCTTTCCAATCTTGAAAATTTATGAGCTTTTCAAATACATTTTTATAGCAAAAAAATCAGTTAAAGAACTGAAACTTTTCAAAGCAGCAGTTTATTACTCAAAAGATGAAATGAGGGAGGTGGAACAAATGGAAACAATACAGTAGTATGGGTACATTATCTTTGGAATTTCTTTCTCTCTTTTATTCTACCACCCCCTTCCATGATACAACGGGTAATATAAGAATGTGAGGAGCAAAACAACCAATGCATAAATATTCACTCTAGGATCCTTATCTATAACCAAAGAACGTGGTCTGATTTCATTTCCTTCAAAATGAAGCTGCATGTAGAATGAAACTTAACAGTTAGTGCTCTCTCTCTCTGAATAAACATTATTTGTTTGAATTATTTAGTAGTAATTAAGCCTTATCAAGAAAGTAGTCATTCAAATCAGAAGAGAATATCATACCACAATTAACATTAGGTTTGGTTTAAATACATAAACATAAACTTATAAAAACTAGTGATTTGGTTCCAATTTTGATGTGAACCTATAAAACAGCAGAGGACAGCGATTTCTCTATAAGCAAAGCTACAATGAAGAAATGTTTAAATAAAATGACAACAGTATAATTAAATTTCAAAATTAGACTGCAGGACCTTGCCATTTATTAAATTTTCTCACAAGGAAAACAAAATTTTGTTAGTCAAATTCAAGATTTTTTTAAATGCACAAACATGTAAGCTAAACCATCTCCTTTCACTGAGGACTGCCCAGCTGTGCCTGCTTTGCTCATTCTCAGCAGCCTGCCATGTACTCATACGTGTGGCAACAATACTCCGTTAGATCATGAATGCTTATCCTGGCACAAGGCAAATTCCCATCTTATTAAAAGAATACTCCAAAGTTCTATGTTAATAGACTGTAACAACCTTTCAAATTCTGGACATTCTAGATGAGCAGAATTAGGACAATGATCAAGCAAAGAAGTAAATGTTCCATTAAAAAGTTCTTGAATATCAATTTACATAGGAGACCAAAGCCTTCACATTAAACATATTTCCTTTCTCACCATCAGAGTTGAACAAATATTTATATTGACAAGTGACAAATGAAATTCTTCTCCAAGTTTATCATCTTTACCTTAGAAAATAGCTTAAAGTTTAAACATGCCAATTGTATGAATATCAAAATTCAGGCCAGGGACCGGCCCCATGGCTGAGTGGTTAAGTTCACATGCTCCACTTTCACAGCCCAGGGTTTCACAGGGTTGGATCCTGGGCACAGACCTAGCACCACTAATCAAGCCATGCTGAGGTGGCGTCCTACATAGCTCAACTAGAAGGACCCACAACTAGAATATACAACTATATACTGGGGAGCTTTGGAGAAAAGAAGAAAAAGAAAAAAGGACTGGCTACAGATGTTAGCTCAGGTGCCAATCTTCAAAAAGAAAAAAAATTCAGGCCAATTGTGTGAATACCAAAAGTCAGTTTTGAGACAGGAGCTTCTAAATAAACTATAGTTTCACTGTGACAGTGTCCTTGAGAATACATGTCATAGGTTTAGAGATAATTCTGCTTCATACCGAGATTCTTTTGATATTTCCAAAACAGACAGGATCAACAACATATCTATGAAGGTTAAGTTCTACAGAAAATAATAAAATATCAAAGTCTCTCACTGTATCTTATCAGATTCTCAATGGAGAGAAAAAAAGGAAAAAGTCTTAGCTTCCACATGAAATTGCCATGGACTTTCTGGGAATCTAGTATCACCATGAAAAATAAATTCCCTCACTCATCCAAGGCACATGGCTAGAAAACTAATTTCCACAGCATCAAATGTATTTAGTTTCCTCCTTTGGAGATAAAAACATCAGATTTTTTCCAAAACATTAACATTGAAAAAATAAATAAAAATAAAAAGACTATTACCATCATGTAAAAACTGAATGGGAGAAGGAAGCAAACATACAGAGGAAAGAAAAAAACTTCCAAAGCTCACCTTTTCTCCTAATTTCTAGAACTATCTATGCCAGGAGTACCTAATCTTTTCCCTATCAAGATATTTTCCCTATGTCTAAAGACTGCTTTAAGTAGACCGTCTAAGACCAGAGACAGGAGAATGGAAAGGAAGAGGGCTCTGCTCTCCCAGGTGGGGAGACGAGATCAGGGGCTGCTCCAGGGATCCTGTCTATACCCATCTTTTCAAAGTTCAGTGAGTTTCACAAACAGGTGCCACCAGCCATTCCCAGATCTACGAGTTGTTGATACCATCCCAACAGTTAAGTTCTGAACTCTGGAACTAAATTTCCAAATGCCCTCCCCAGTGGCATCTTAAACTCAATGTTTACAAAACTAAACTAATCACCTTTTCCAAACCCAATGCTATCAACACCCTACCCCAAAGCTGTTTCTCCTTCCTGTATTTCCTAACTTGGAGAATTATCCCATATCAGTCTATCTCCCAAGGGTTATCCTGGTTTTAAAAACCCTTCACTATTTCTTTGCTACCTACAGGAGAAAATCCAAACTGTGCATCATGGCATTCAAGACCATTTGTGGTAAATTCTCCATCTCTTCAGTCATACATTTTTCTCTCTGCAACATCATACCACATGTTCCAGCCATTCGAAAATATTCACAGGTTCCAGGAATACAAAATCTTCCTTATGCCTGGAAAGCCATTGCTACTCTTGTCCACCTGGAAAACTCCTATCCATTCTTCAAGACCCAGGTCAATGATCACCTTCTCAGTCAAAATTTTCTGACTCTTCATCAAGAAGAGTTGAGTAGTTGTTCCTCTATCTTCCTGTTCTTACAGGACCCTGTGCATTTAATATTCCTATTATATTAATATTTAATATATTGGTTTTGCTTATTTGCTTCTGTCTCCCCCAAATAACTGATCTCCTTAAAGGCAAAGTTTTGCCTTATCCATTGCTTAAATCCTCAATATGCCATAAAATGCCTAGCAATTAGTGGAATACTCCATAAATAGTTTGTTGAACTGATTAACTTATTATTCACCAATTGAATTTGAGGTTTCCTCTGTTCAGTATACCTAAGTCTCTAAGATTTAAAAAAAGTCTGGAAAAGATAAGAATGGCACTTTTTCTAATCTTCCACTCCTACTTCTGAAGTCTTTGTGCTCCTCTAGAACTTCCATTTGCCTCAGAATCAACTTAAGTCTTACCGATAAGACAATGCTACACACCATTCTTATTCCTTAACTTAAATACTGCAGTTTTACTACTCTCAGCATTTGTCAACCACAAAATGCTTACAGGATTAACATTTTTTTAAAAAATACAATAAAACAAAACTTCCATCAGAGTGATCTTAACCATTTTGTTGAGAACCAAATCTCTAGTTTCTAAACCAGGAAGCTCAAGTTGCTATGCCTCAAGGAATTTGGGGAAAATTTCATAGAAGACCAAATAGTAAGAATTCTACCACGGAGGTCTGATCTTCACTGAAAAGGATCCTAATCCAATTTCAGTCCTCATGGCATGAAAGTACTATTTCAGAAAGTCCCTAGATTCTCAGATGCACTGGCAAACACTGGACACTGAAGAAACAGAAGAAAAAAGGAGATTTTATGGACTTGTTCATTCATCCATTTCAAGTAATGAAATTTAATCACTGCATATTTACTGTTCTAAAATACAACAGAGCAAATGTTAGAAATGTCACATACGCATCAAAATTATTACATAATAAAGTATTCAAGATAAAATCTTTATGTAGGACATAAAAGTTCAAAATGAAAACAAACCAAAAAAGAAAAACAATGAATCCAGGGGCCTTTAAAAAATTGATTTAAGATGTCTAAATACGAACCAAATAAATGTTACTACAACAAAATCACAGCTATTTAAGAATATGATTTTTAAAAACTTGAAATTCAAGCATTATGTGGTTGTCTGCGTGTCATTTCGTAAAGAAGAGAAAATTTAAGGAGAAAGGAAATGGCAAAATGCAACAGGAAGAAGACAGATACTGAGGAATGGCTACGGTCTGAGTTAGGTTCTCAGAGACCTTCTCCTTTGGAATTTGAACAAGGCAGGGAGCACATTTGGTGGGTGCCTGGAGAGGACTTACACTATGGGCATTCTTCTGCTACCTCTGCCAGCGGATGAGCGGCTTCTGAGAATGCATACCAAATTAATTCCCCAGCTGTTCACAGGCACATGGGCAGCTGCTGCTGTTACTGCCTCACACTTAGGGTAGTCTGTCAGCACCTCTAATCTCTGCCATAGCAGACGAGCCACTCAGCTAACGCCTCTGCTGCACTTCCAAGGAAGGAATCTCTGAACTAAGGACTGGGTGGCACTGCGCTGCCAGCTGTAAGCCTTAGAGCTGATGTCTGCGTGCTGCCGGGTCTATCAGCTGCTGAGCCATCCTCAGCACGGGAATGAAATGAGCTTAACAAAACACTCCTGTACAGAAATTTTCTGAAATCATGATAGCATTCAATGGAAAACAGAGTTCAATCTACAGAAATCCATTTTCCAGGTGTTTTAAGAACATATCTATTTTATAAAGTAATCCACATCTGTATGAGTAGAATAAAAAAGGGAAGAACCTAAGGAAACGAAAATCAAAATTTAAAAAAAGAATTCATCAGGAACTCAAAGGTAAAGATTCCATGTATTTTTACAAGACAGATTATTTTTGCAACTATGAAACATTAAGAAAGTTTTTAAAATATTAAAAAGCCATCAAGAACCTCAAACTAAGATTCCTAATAATATACTTTTTCAGATGTCTAAACTAGTTACTTTCTTGAGTGGTTGAAAGTCCTATGTTTTCATCCTCATCAAGCAAAAGCTCAGTGACACACTGCTATCACGGCTCTGCAGTCTTAGTTACAAGAGGGAGAAGCAAATAATTTAACTAAATATGCCAAACTAATTTATAAAGAGCACTCAAAACAACATTCTTGGGCCCCATTTTTAAAAAATGCACACATATCTTTCTTTTATTAGTATCAAGCATATTTATCAATCACTCAATATTTAGTACATATTAACTAAAATTATTCATTGTTAATATTAATAACAGCTTTTAAAAGTACCTTGATCTTTGTGTTTCTAAAATTTTTCCCAGTCCATTTATTAATCTGAAATAAATATAAAAGTGAGGAAGAAAAAGTAAAACAGTAAACATTAACTTTTTAAAAAAGCACACAAGGCACCTTATTTCTAAAACAGGAAGTAAGCACATAGAGATACACCTGGAACTAGAAAAAAATAAATAGAAAAAGAAGACTTTTTTATAGTTTATTTTCCTTCTAATCATAAATCAGGTATATTACACTTAGATATTAAAATATGATATGCAAAAATCTGACAGACCATGGGCTACTTTGATTTATAAAAAGACGCTTTACTTTAGAAAAAATGATTCATAAATAGCCAGTAAGTTTAACGTTCTTAAAATGAGTACATAAATCAAAATTTTTATTGATATGCAATTTTCTCCAAGCACACATTGTGAAAATGGCTATACCCATGCTAGAAATAAAAACCTAGTTATGAGTGGCTTTGACCCCAGCCTGTCCTCACTAGTCACAGTAACACTAAGTCACACATCCAGGTTCTTTTAAAGAATAACTTCTTCAGTTCCCTAACTAGGATCTCTACCCACTCTGCCGGCCCTCTCCTTTCTGATACTAAGAGAATGAAATATGGTTCCCTTTGTATGGCACCAAAAATACTTGTTAAATCCTTTTCAACATACTGTACACCTCATCTATTTATCTTTTTATCATCAACTCCACTGCCTTTAAGGTTACTTGCTGAAGATATCTGCTATTTGTTCAAGCTTGTTCTCACAGGCAAGGCTTCTCACATATGATGATTTGTAGGCAAATCTACTATTTCACAAAATTCTTAATCTTCTCTTTGGCATACACTCTATAACCTGATAGCCACTTCCTCTCAAACATGTGTACCTTCTTCCAACTCCCCAAATCTAATTCCAAGTCCATCAGAAGTCTGATGTACAATGGAGGGTAAAGAGCCAAAGGATCTATAATTTATCAAAGTGCTTTGCCCAAATTCTTTTCTGGTATTACTGTACAGTACAGGATGGTAACAAACTGGCTAACAGTCAATATTGCTGGTGTTAGAGATCCAGCTTAGACAGTCAATATGCGGATAGAAAAGCTGAGTAGTAATAATCTCTCCTTTTATGCCAAAAATGTTTGTTACATAGATTATGTTCTCCTTTCTAGCAATCACAATGATGCATAGGATTTTGAACAGAGAAAATTTAGAGCAGTATCAAAAGGATAAAAGAAGTAATCTCCATTCACCGCTTTCATCTTTCTACACTCTTCAAAAATATCAACCGTCCTTCTATTTCTCTAATTTTTTTATTCACTGAAACTTGAAATTACTATGTAAACTAAGAAAAAAAAATCTACACTCTATTAATGATAGTAATAGCGAACAGAGCACTTACTATGTGTCAGGCACCATGCAAAGTTTACCAACACTGCCTCATGTAATGCTCAACCCAAACTTATGAAGTAGGTATTATTCCTGTTTTACACATGACTTAAAAAGAACACAATGAGAAACAGACCCAGGATTAGAAGCCAGGCAGATTCCAATGTCCATGATCTTAAACACAATGCAACACTACCTGCCCTCCACATGGAAATATTATTATAGCTTCTTATAGTAAAGTCTGAGAGGATATTACTATTAAAATAATACCAAATATACAGAAAAATATGAATTTATTTCTTCCACAATTATTACTCATTGCAGCCAATCTCCTAATGAGCCTTATCTTCATTGATTCAATTTATAACATATACTATATGAACTGGCACTGAAGGATTCAAAATCTGATGTCAGCAGATTGTATCCATTAAAGATGACTAATAATGAAAGCTGTCAAATGTCTCTTTGTAGATGGCATTTATTACTTTAGGTCTTACAAAATAATTCAAAATCCCTGAATTCTAACCTCATTTGAAAAGTCCAAATGACTGTTGGATCATGTAACACATATTTGAGTACCATTCTTATTGTCCTATGTTGATCAGCCTTGGCCATGGACACTGAAGACATTAAAGCAAGCTGGAAGACAGGCATGGTTAGTTGACAGTTAAGGAAGACAAAGTCAGTGAGGATTCAGGGAAAAGTGAGACCACGTGAGTCAGGGAAGACTTTGAAAGAAGGGAGGGTGGGGGATGGGCTCTAGAGAATGGATAAAATTGCTAAAAAAAAAAAAACAAACACACACACACAGATGATGAAGGAATTCAAGGATTGAGAGAGTGAAAGTAAGAACACGGTAAGAATAAAGAAGGGATCTGGCAAGACCTACCCATGCAAAAGGAAGTAAATCGTCCTGGGGAAAGTTATGGAACTTCATGCAGGGAAAAGGTCAAAGAGAAGACAGGAAAAGGAGGATGGAGTCAAAAGACCCTGAATATCAGTCTATGAACTTTGAACTATAGTTCAAACTGAACTTAAGTTTCCACAGGGCAAGAACCATGGTAAAAATATTTCATAGAATACACTTTGGATTTGTAGGTACTTAACATGCTCGTAAGTTTGTACCTAATGGTTGTTCTTAATTTGTTTAAATCCTCTTCTGACACCAAGTCTGTTTTATTGATGATGATGATATCTGCCAAAGCAACTTGCCTAAATTAGCAAACAAAGAACAGATGTCAACAGAGAAATGTTAAGAAATTAAAAACAAATAGAAACACCTCCTACAGATCAATTAGCAGTTAAAAACTATATAAGAGTCTATACGGTGATTTGATTTACTCCTAACCTACTTATCATTCTGCAGATAGTAAGAATGACTATATAAATTAAGATTTCACATCATTTATTCAAAAAATATTCACCAAGTGCTCTCACTTGCTACTCTGGACTTACAAAGATAAGCCTCAAAAAGTTTACAATCAGGCCAGCCCTGTGGCCTAGTGGTTAAGTTCAGCACACTCCACTCTGGTGGCCCAGGTTTGGTTCCTGGGTGCTGACCTACACCACTCATCAGCAGCCATGCTGTGGCGGCAACTCACATACAAAATAAAGGAATCTTCCTCAGCAAAAAAGAAAGTTTACAATCAAGGATGATTTACAATTAGGGTGACTTTCAACTCATGACTTCAGTCAGTTCTTCAGGAAATTTAAATCACTACTGACCACTTGTTCTGAATTCTAGTTTTATGCCACCTGAAGCATAAATACAGCCAATTATTTCAAAGAACACAACCAAATTCACAAAAATAAATTAACTCTAATTCATTGAAAATGCAGGTTTCAACAGCATGTACATTACAATCCCATTTTTGTTTAAGTAAACTGTATATGAAAAAAGATTAATGCACTCATCTCAAAATATACAGTTGCAATCTTTAAATTGAAGGCCTTCTAGGTTTAACTTTATTTTGGCTTTTATAACATTTTGCTATTTTCTATTTGGCTTATTTACATTTTCTAGAATAAAGATATTTTAATAAGGAAAACAGTACCAAAAATATTTAAGTTCAGTCTAACGTGAATCAGAACTAGAGACCAAATGCAGTGCTTAGGCACGACTACAAAACAACAGAGCACCATGCTCCAGAAGGAAAGGGAATCAACTGCTTGCTTGCAGTCTTTATTATTTATGCCTGCATCATGCCTAGCAAACCTCAGGGGGGCTCCCTCTTAAACCCAGCAGCATATTTAGTGACTGTCTTCCAACCCCAAACCTTTTCCCATTAGGAAGAAGATGCTTAGGGTAGACTGACTAATTTAAATATTTATAAGTCTAAAGACAAACCAAGTGGGAACATAAAGGTATTTAAACAAAAAATGTTCTAAATGCCAAAATAAAACTATTTCCATATTTGTTCCTCTGTTGTTCTGCGTAACAATGAACTATGGAATCAAATGAATTACATTAAAGAAGGCAGTAAGTGAGCCAACACTTTTTTTTTAATAATTATCTTCAATCCCCCCAAAATTGTATGAGACCAAGAAAATATTTTCAAATGTTAACATTTCCCAATCTCTTCAGAAAGAACTCTTGTGCCCAGTAGTAACTTTATGCTATAATGAAAAATAGTTTTAAATAAAATTTTAGTTATAAATAGCAAGAAATCAACTACATGAAAAAAGGTGATAAATTCTCCTTGACGATGTTTTTATATTTGTTTGTTTTTGGTTTCCCTATTATAATTTTCTGTTTCCAATTAGCCAGTAATCAATATATACTTTAAACATGAATACCTAGAAGCTTCATTGATAAGGCCATCAGGTTTTTCTTCTGCTAAATGCTAAAGAAAAACAAAGTGTGACATAAGTTACCGTGGTGTAACTCAAAATCTAACGTCAGCACAAAGGATTTTACTTTAGACACTCCTGTCTCGCCTCGAATAAAGACTTCAACAAGTTCTTTTACCCAATACACAAATTCAGAACTAACTTTTCTATCTGAAAGCATTTTCTTCCTCATTTGTAATTTTTTTCCTAAAGTGAACCTGAGGGATTTTTTGGGGGAAGTGGGGGCAAAGGCTTAAATTTTGTCCTCCTGACTTCTTTCCCTCACAAAGAAAACCCTCCAGGTTTAAATAATGTCATAAAAACAAAGAACATTATAGTTCAGATTTTAGGCATTTTCCTCTTTACAAAATTGTTCTTGTTCTAAATATCCATTATTATCTATAAAAAAAAAGAGAACCACTGAAATTGTACTTTCTTAAAATCTAACACACTTCCCTCCATTTCTACCCCCATGCCCCACTCCCCCACCCCAGAATCATACACAATACAAACTCAGTGCTGGGCCCTTCATATTCCCTAGAAACAAATAAGCTGTGGGCAGAACACAGCCCTAATTCTAGCCCAAAAGCAGTTTATCATTAGAAGCTAACACTAGAGTAATCTGGCCTCTCAGTGCAACTATTATTTTGCTGACCTCTCCAGATTCAAGCTAGCTCCAAAAAATATTTTGACATTGACTTCAAGGCCCATGAGGTAGGTTTCATCTCTCTGGAAGCAGTTATTATTTTCCCATAACCCTATTTATATACCTAAAGTCATCAATGACCTAATTCATCTCTGAAAAATGTTTCATCTTCATTTCCTTAACCCTCAATAGATGTCCCATCACAATAAAAAGCTGCCTACTGAGGTTAGAGGCAATTAGATTATATTAATACTATTTGTATTTGACTCAAACTTCACAAATTATTAAATGTTTATACACATATCTCATTTAGCCTTCATAACAATTATGGAAAATGGCTATTCTCCTCATTTTATGAAAGAAGAAACTAAATCTAATACTGTCACCATCACAGGATACCCTAATAATAGGGCTATTTTTCAAAAATTGAAAACATGCTCAATATAAGTAAAGTGAACATAATTTTTAAATCTTTGTGAAGGCTTTTTTTTTCATGTAAAATCAGTCTTGCATACGCTGTTACACAAATTTTAATACTGTCAGCCTTGTGTATCTGTGCGTTCCAGTTCTGCCTCCGTGGATTCAACCAACCTCAGGTCGAAAGGCCTTCGGTGGTTGCATTTATACTGAACAAGTACACACTTTTTTCTTGTCATTATTCCTTAAACAATACAGTATAACAATCCTTTACATAGTATTTACATTGTATTAGGTATTAAAAGTAATCCACAGATGATTTAAAGCACACAGGAGGATGTGTGTAGGTTATATGCAAATACTACATCATTTTATATAAGAGACTTGAGAATCCAGATTTTGGTATCCACAGGGGTCCTGGAACCAACCTCCCAGGGACACTGAGGGGCGACTGTATTCACAGAAGAGTACATACATAAAGATTACCTAAAATTGACATTCAAAACTGTTTCACCAAACCAGTTTCACACCTCATGGGGAGGAAGATCATTAAGGTTTGGGGATAGTCTGGAACCTAAGAGCAAGTTGGTATAATTTAGCCTTGATTAAGGCCACAGAGAAAAACTTCCTTCTTCTAAAAGTTTGCCAAATTCTATTTTGGAGGAAACAAGACTAAACTACAACTACAATAATGAACTGATTTCCACTTTAGGTACAATCCTATAAATTCAACTGCAGACCCAATCTGAAATTACGGAAGTCACAGAACTTGGAGAATATTGTATCAAAAACTGTTCCTGGCCAAAAGACCAAGAATATTTTTGCTAATTATTCTTAGCCTGAAGCTATAACAAATCCTATTATTATGTCCTCGGGAGAACAAGGCTTTTACTATACTGGGAATAGTATCTGACACCCAGGCTCAACAAATATTTGTTGAATGAGTTCTAGTTAACACCTCTTATTTGTTGACATAGATACATGGATATTGTCATTTGAAAAATTCTGTGTAACATGCAATAACAAATCCCTTTCTAATCAGCCATAAATCTGTTTAACAAAGATGTATTTTTTTCCAAGGATCCTGTAATATTGAAGTTCTTTTAAAAATCTGAAATATTTTTCAAAAGATTGTCTTGTTGACCTTTTGGAAGCTTTATGTACATACAAATTTGGGGTTCCTACACTGTGAGTTGCTGGGGTATAAAAAAGATATGGCAAGAAAATTAGAGATTTGTTTTTTTATTTCCATACCTAAATGGAAGTAATAAAATAGTAGTTTCACAAAGTAACTCATGTTTATAAGGGACTTCCTTCTCCAGATTAGAAATCTTGACTCAAAGCTAACTGGGATGGACTAAAATTTGACTACCTCCAGGCAATCAAAAAGCATAATAAAAAATGTTAAAATTTCCCCAAATAAAAACCTACCAATATGTACAACTCTATAATAATCAGATATAATTATAGCAGAAGAGATAAACGCCCTGTTCTATGCACATATGAAGGCTATACAAACATAAAGAAATAATAAGTGCATATTAACATTTATTTTCTCTGGCTATCAGCCCAATGTCTCTCCTAAGCGACTTTCTACCTCCCCAAGTCAAACTTTGAAAGGACTAAAACCAATGTTTGCTATTCAAAAGGACACTCTCCAATAACACATTACACACCATTAGTCATTAAGTCAAATGACTTCCATTTATAAAGTTAAAAAAAAGAAATTTAGACATTCTATTCTACCTGTACAGGCAAGAAAGGAAAAATTTTTCCAAATCCTTTTTCAAAATATTTTGTGTCTATAGATAGATATAGATATATAGATATCTCCCCAAAGGATTCCCTGTCTCTGCTTAGAGACTGTGGCTTTTGCTTATATATAAAAAATAATTTTGTTACTAATTAATCCAACATTTAGCTAAACCATTTAGATAAACGGTTAAGGTTCAACCCTCCAACTTAGCATACCATAAGAAAGAAAGGAACCCTCTGAAATAACACCTTTGTAGACACAACTTCAGTATAGGTTATAGGGTGCCCTTTTCTGCAGAAATAGAAATGAGCTGGACCAAAAAAAAAAAAAAGAAAAAAACACTGTTGTTCACCAAAGTGGAAATAAATCTAGTGTCAAAGGTGTCAGATGACATTAAAAAAAGAAGCAGCTTCTATTCCTTTCCAATGGATTGGTTATAGATCTAACAGCATTTTAGCTTTTAAAAAAAGATTATTGCATAATGTCAGTCTATTTATTTTTCTGGTCTTTTCCAAGCCAAACTGTTTTCTGACTGAATTGTTTCAACAGCTTGTGCAATATACCAGAAGAACCAAAAAGAAACCTCTCACTTGACCTTTTCTGTGTAACTTCATTCATTGATTCTATTGCATTAAATGCTGTCACATTTGTAGAACTGAAAAGAACAATGTCAGTAGCCCAAGTGTCAAGTCTGGAGAATAGAGAGCTGTCACTTGAAGTTGTCCAATTCTTTGCCCATGATTAAAAAATGAATATTTCAGATCAATGGGTGACAATCCCATTAGAGTGATAGCCCATGATATCAATTACCACTTCAGTTTCAATTTGGCTGGCTGGCCACAGGGTACCATTTCTCAGCTTTACTTGTGATGGGCTGGCTCTGTGAAGCATGACACCCTTAAATTGCTGCCCATTATCCAAGTGTCATTACTTGTACTGCCTCAGAATTCTCTGAATCACAAGCAGCTACTGGGTCAAGCTTTGCAACCAGAGGAATTGGACAAGTTGGCAAATTCTTTATATAAAGGAAAAGTTATTTATCTGGCATCTGACTTAGAAAATCTAAAGTTTCCATTATCCTGACAGTATGTCAGTTTTACGTAGGTATATTGATTTAATAATTTAAGAGGTTTTATCAAGGTGGCAGAGGGTTAAACGTTTACTGTGTTTGCATTATTCAGAATGTTGCTTTCTGATTTTTTTGGCTTCTATCACACTGATAATAGATTCCATTTAACTCCTCTGCACACTCAAATATACATATAAAATTATTCCTATAATCATAAATAAAGAGTTTGACTTTGGGTATGGTACTTTAAGTCTACCAAAAAAACAAAATATCCTGTTATTTATCCCATAGGAATCCAAAATTTGGTAATAAATTTGTATAGAATATGGATTCAAACATGCCTACAATAAACACTCAGACTGAAGAATTTGACCTATTTTTTTGCTTCCTTTGTAAACATTTTGCTAGAAATATCATGATTTCAGAAGAGTCAGAATTTTTCTGAGTAAAATGTAATATTTGGGATCTTTCTTTGATTCTTAAGACTATCAGTAAATTTGGACTTGAAAATCTAAAAAGGAATTATCTCCCAAACTTCTCAAATTAGGATGTTGTATACCTGAGGGAACTGAAGGGCCCGTGAAGGGGTACTGTAGCCATTTGGCAAGCTTGCCTTATATTCCTAGAGTATAATTTTATTGATGGTTTGAAAGAAAAACTTTTCAAGTTAAGAAATTCAGGTATAATGTGAGGTAGAATACAAAATGGACATGTATTTTTAAACATGAAATTCAAACTTCTAAGAAATGATTACTCTGGGCACTATCCATATCCTAGATTGGGACCAGAGGATAATTTCACTCTCTTCTGCCTTTAGTAATATTTCACTTGGAAAACTGAGAAACACTTTTCCTTTATGCAACAACATGCTTTTAAAAATCTTACTAAGTGCATTTTATGAATTGAAGCCCATTTAAATGCATCTGAGGATCTTGGTAGTTACAAAAACATCCACAGCCTTTCAGTGTAGAGGTTCTCCTCACTAAACCTATATATAAATCCTGATTTCTTCAAAATAAGGTAAAGTAATATTTTTTAAAAACTGAATTATCTCCAGCTTGTGTCTGATAGCTGTTTAACAAGAAAAATAAGTTTTCATATGCTTTATCAAGCTCAATTTTCTCTATCACACAGAAAAATCTTAACCAACATTGGGGTTGAATCCTAGAGGAGTTACAAATACCCAAACTTTATCCTGTCGTATCCTGATTATAAAATACTACACTTCCAACTTTTATTACATCAGTAAGAGTAACAGAAAATAAATATTTAATTTAAAAACACAAAATAAATAAAAGACACAAATTTCACCTATTGTTCAAAGATACTTAAAAAAAAGTTTTTAAGAAAAATTACAAACAGATACAAATGTAGAGAAAATAACATGATCAATCCCCATATACCCAGCTCTTAACAAATAATTAGCAACTCATAGCAATTTTTCAACTTACTTTTAACCCATATTTTGAATCCACAACAGTGATGATACCTACAAAGAATAAATCTTTTAATAACCTTTATACTTGAGAAGGAACATTAAAACTAATCTATTTCAGTTCACAAATGTTACTCAATAAAATACTGTTTTCTCTCTTGCCAATGCTGCAATTTAATTCAATTCCACTAATAAGTAGATGCGTTTCAAACATGCACTGAGTGTCTAGTACTATTTTAAAGCACTAGGTAGGATATAAAATAAATATATTTTTTAAATTAAATATTCAAACAAATAAGAAAATAAGATTTCTCTAGCCTTTAAAAAGCTTACAGTCCAAAATGATGAGACAAATTTCATAACATAAAGCTGAATGTAACAAATTACACAAGACAGGTTATCTCTAGTTTATTTTCACATAATCAAAATCAAGACTTTTCTTAAGATTTAAATTATTGCTTAACTCTCACCAAATCTAACTTATACAAATGTTTTACATAACACATACCTAAGTTTCCAAAAGACCAATTAGTTGAGCAATCTCTGACTTTATATGCTAAATAACTTTTTCAAAGGATAACAGCAGAACAAAGTTGATAAATTCAACAGCTACGCGCCACATATATTAGGGCTAAATGATGAGGCCCAGCTTCAATGATTCTTAAATTTCATCACTTAGTCTACGAAAGACCTGGTTTAAAGAAAGGTGAAGGGCAGTAGTGGGGGAATGGACATGGGGCAGAAAGTTTCTAATACGTCTTAAATGAAGTCTATGAATAAAATTGCCCAAAGGTGTTAAGGTAAATAAAGTAAGGGATGGGGGACTTTCCTTAATTCTTATCTTCAAGGGAAAATGAAAGCAAAAATATGATCCCCAAACTGTATAGCTTATTTAAAATAAAAAGTTCTAACACTACACTAAGTGCATAAATCAAACAATAGGGGGTACAGGAAATCTACACAGTATTTTAAAAGGAAAACTTTAGTGGAAGCACTAAATTGGGAGTTGAGATTAAGATTTGACATCTCGTTCTAGCACTGGGGCTTTAGAATCTGTATGAACAAAGACTTACTTCATCATCAAACTAAACAAGTTTAAAAACATTAACAAGACATGGAATTAAAATTGTAACATAAATGAACAAAAATGACCTTAACCATAACAATAACATTTTACTTGAAAACAAAAGAAAATTCGCTTTTTAACTTACCATCAAGATAAATATCAACTCCTAATTCAGCATCAACCCAAAACATAGAAGCTACAGCACCTGAGAATATATGATAATATTCATCAAATAAAAATATTTCTTTAAACTGAGAAACACGATTCTATCCATAATTTTTTAACTTGCCCAAACAGAGTTAGCAGGCAAACACATACACAAATTAAATACAGGTTTCCAATCTTTTTATGGAAATTACAGTGATAGAAACTTTTACTATGTATACTCCTTTCTTCCCCTCCCTTTTTCTTCAAAAAAAAAAAAAAAGACCAACTCTTATCACATACAAATCCAACACCAAGCTCTACCCACACCATAATAACTTATCAACAGATATTATCAAATAATTTGGGCAGTATGGCTATATGCACATAGGACTGATTTTTATTTTCTCTCTCCTGAATATAATAACCATACGGTTCACAAATAACAAATTATCTCTCTAAAATCCCAATTCCAAAATCACTGTCCAAAAAGTTTTTAAATTTACTCATAAGTTTTAGAGAACAAAGACCAAAAAGTAAAATTATATACTCCATGTCATTACTAATAAATCCTTACACTATTTATATAGCACTGATATAAAATTTGGGTCTGAGGAAAAATAATTTATAAATAAGAAATTAAAAGTTGTTTTTGACAGAAACTGTTCAGTACCAAACCACACACCCTGATTAGTAGGCCACAACATAAGAAAAAGAAAACTGACAACAAAGAAAGTATTTGACTTTTCAAAGCATCACAGGTCCAGTTAGTGACAGGCCTGTCTAAAAGAATGAGTATCGGGGAAAAACAAGGATAACTGAACTCATTCCAATGTCTAAAGCTGTCCACCTACCCTGACGAGATGTGGTCCCCCAAGCATCACTCTGTGTCAACAATGAAATACCTGTCAGCTGTTCACAGTGATTACTCATGCAAGATATAGCAAGGGCCACAAGATCTAATGGTTTCCTGATACCTATTGATTTTTTCCCAAAAACTTAATAGTTTTCCAATTTGACTGAAATAGGATTTGTGAGTAACAGGGGCTGAATCAATGCCTGTCCTTTTCAAGGAAATTACTTTACCCTGACAATTATTTAGCTTAGAAGTGGAGAGTGTCAGGCTCCTAAACAGGAAGCAACTGAATTGCCAATAAGAATTTTCTTCACTTACTTGGCTAACAACATGATTTTAATTAATGAGGGAGAAAAAAGTAAATCTACTGTGAGTATCATTACTCCAAACAATGTCATAAAAAAAAGTATTAATTTTTTCCATTCAGTAAAACTGCTAGCATTGTACATAAATCATTTTTTTTTAATTCATTGATTTCTATTCAGATAGACTGTAAGTCCTACAGTTAATATCGGCCTAATGTTAAGTTGAACTGTAAGAGTGTATTAGAGTTTTTATTCTAAATCTGATGTGCATCTTTGATAATACTTAGCAGGCTACTCAAGAAAGAACTATTTAAAATGTGGATGGAGGTGTTTAGCAAGAGGAGTAAAGATGACAGAATGAAATTAATCAGTGGTTCTCAACTCAGGGTGATTTTTCTCCCCAGGGAGTATTTGTCAACGTCTGGAGTTATTTTTGGTCATCTCAACTAGGGGAATGCTATGGACATGTGGCAGATAGGAGCCAGAGATACTGTTAAACAATCTACAATGCACAAGGCAACCCCCCACAGGCAAGAATTTTCCAACTCAAAATGTCATTTGTGCCAAGGTTAAGAAATCCTGAGATAGATTATAGAATCTCCCTTCTTCAAAATCTAGTAAAAACAAAAAAAAATTTTAAAGCCAAATTTTATAAGCAGCAACCAAACATACAACCTCTTCCATAAATTTTGAAGAGTGATAGTCAAAATAAGAAACACAAAGTTCTATGTGACTTACAATAGTTCTTAATTCTACTCCCATTCCCAATAAGAGGTTACAGGAAAATAGTTTACAAAATCCTAATACTCATCACGAATAGCTTTCAAAATGGCAAGAAGTAGAACTGAGGGAAGAATAAGCAACGCAAGGAAAAATCAACAAAAAAACTTCCAGGGTAAAAGTTCCTAACCAACTTCACATTTGTGGGGGAGGGTTCACTTTCTAGGGCACAGCAGCGAAATGAAGCAAGAGGTCTAGGGCTCGAGGATGCCCCCGCACGAGGTATGGAATGTATATTCACGAATAGTTGGAGCAAACCCAGGAAGGGAACTGTTGGTATTTTAAGAGAGCAGAGCCTAAAAGTCATCTTACCCATCTGGCTCTCTCAGTCACCCCTTTTCCCTTTGTGTCCCCGTCTCTGCTCCCAGCAATACTCAGCTTTCAAACTGAGGCTCAGGAGAAAAACAAGCAGGTAAGATGGGTAGGGTATTAAAAAGAAATCATCAACACCACATCTAAGTACAATAGCCCCTCCTTATCCAGAGGGTAAGTTCCAAGACCCACTGTGGACGTCTGAAACTATGGATAGTAGCAAACTTTCCATATACTATGCTGTTTCCTCTACATAAATACCTACAATAAAGTTTAATTTATAAATTAGACACAGTAATAAATTAATAACAATAACATAATAAAAATAGAACAATTATAACAATATACCATAGTAAAAGTTATGTGAATGTGGTCTTTCTCTCTCTCGAAATATTTTATTGTACTGTACTCACCCTTCTTGTGATGATATGAGATGATACAATGCCTACGTGATGAGATGAAGTGAGCAGAATGATGCAGGCATTGTGATGTAGTTATTTTCGGACCACGGTTGACCATGGGTAAACAAAACCACGCAAAGTGAAACTTTGGATGAGAAGGGACGACCATAGATAGAAGTTCTCTGAGCCTCCTTCCTCAAGCATGAACATGCTGAAAAAACTATGTACATGTATTACAGCTTAGATGAAACAAAAAAGAAGATAAAGGGCAGAAAGGAAAAAAACTGAAGAAATGAATAGGGCATCAAATGGCAAAGAACCCATTCTGGAAGGAAACACAATCCAAGAAGCCCAAGAAAATTCTCAATGGCCTCTTCATAATAAAGAACTTAAAAGCAACACAATCTTAATTAAAAACAAACTCTAAAGTAAGATAAAGCAGAATAATACGAAAAGGTAATTTGCAGTGCTAAAGAAATAAACTGAGGTACAACATACCATTACTTAACCAAGTAATTCATTTAAAACATCAAGGAACAGAACAGACATTGGTAGAAACACAATTACTGACAAAAAGGAAGGTTTGAGATGATGACAGTAAATGCTGAGGCAAAAGACAAATCAAAACAATTAAAAGATAATAGATACGGAAAACAAAAGAAAATTAAATATAGGGAAAATTGGTGTCAGAATGTAGAGGACCCAATAATTTGACAGAAAACCTCTCACGGTAATAAATAAGGAAAATGTACCTAAATGAAGAACTAATCTAGGAAAAAATGATTATGAATGACACTTAGGTGTATCTTGGCTATATTACCGAACCTCAAAAAAAATTTTTCAGGCATTTTGGATGAAAAAGCAAGTCACTTTCAAGGAAGTGGGAAGAAAATAGACTTCTACAGTAACATTTACCGCTCCAACATAATGAAATAACGACCACAAAGTTGTAATGAAAGTGTTTCTAAGGATACCATGTCCTGCCAAGTTGTTTTTCAAGAATAAAAACAACAGACATTCTCAAACATTAAGAGAACAACAGCACTGAAACTCAAAAAAATACAGCACTCCCAAATCCTTCCTGATGAAATAAAAAGAGAAAATATTGGACAAGGAAATCCAGCCAATCAAAAAATACTAAGAGATCACGGAGCAACATTTGCAAAGTTCTGAGGAAAAGAAATTGTGATCTGGAAAATTTTACACCTAGCCAAGTAATCCTTCCAGTATAAAAGTATTCTCAAGCAATGAAGTATGCAAGAACTCAGGGAATACAGCACCTACAGCTGGAAAAGATTACCTGACCATGACGTTCAGTCAATCAAGAGACTGATCCACTCAGGAATGGGGAAGCCACAATACTGGTAATAAGGACTAAAACTGCTTAAACATAGAACTAAATAAAAGTATGACAACGTAAATGTCAGAAACCCTGAAAACAGCACAGAACACAATCACCCAAAACTAGGAAATGGGAGAAAGAAGAAGAGTGTTAATTCCCTCATCTTTTATGCCATGGAGTCAGCAGAAATACTGAAACGTGGTTTAAGAAATAATTTGTCCAATTTCTGTTCTTTACAATCTTTTCTTTTGTTCCTTAACTCATGTCTCTTGCAGTAAAGAAGTATTTATCTGATATTCAGCAATTCCTTCACTTCTTTCAAGTTTTCTTCTTTCAGATTTAAGTAAAACTAATAATTATTAAGAATAGCATAAAGAATGTGATCCCATTTTTATAAAATTTTTTCTGTATATTTATACTGCTTTCAGAAGCACATAGAGCAGAGATTCCCAAATTTACACATGTATAAGAATCACCTGGAAGGTTTCTTACAAGAGATTACTAGGCCTCATCCTTCGAGAGTCTGATTCAGTAGATCTGGGATGGGGCCCAAGATCTGCCTCTTTCACAAGCTCCCAGGTGACAATGAGGCTGTCATTCAACACACAACAGCGAGTAGCACTGACACAAGAGAAATCCCTGGAATGAATTTATTTATTTATTTAATTTTGTGTGTGTGTGAGGAAGATTGGCCCTGAGCTAACATCTGTTGCAAATCTTCCTCTTTTTGCTTGAAGAAGACTGGCCCTGAACTAACATCTGTGGCAGTCTTCCTCTATTTTGCACGTGCACTGCTGCCACAGCATGGCTTGATGAGCGGTATGGGTCCACATCTGGGATCCGAACCCGCAAACCCAAGGCCACCAAAGCAGGGCGCACAGAACTTAACCATTACGCCACTGGGCTAGCCCCACTGGAATGAAATTTACCTACTTGAATTTCATGGTACTGAGATATAGGGTGATTTTTTTAAACTTTTTTCTTCCTATTTTCTTAAGCATTAGATTGTTGTTTATTTTATAATGAATATTCCATTTTTACCCAAACAACAAAATCACTATTCTAAAGAAAGTCAGAACCAAGAAACACTAACCGGTTTATAACTACAATTTGTACAAAAGCTTTCTCTGAGATCTTTAACTTTTGTTTCTTCTGAAAAATTGAACCGTGTTTTATTAAACTCACCTACTATCCAAAAAAGTTTCAAAAGTTTTTCTCTATCAAGTGGCTACAATGAAACTGATATTTGCTACTTCAAAAAGATGCATAAAATATATTTTCCCACCTTATCAGATTTAAACTACTTTAATATTTAACACCAATGTAATAGTCAAGTTGTATCATCAGTAAGACCTATTGGAAACGTATGAAAAATTCATGCCTACTATAAGGACCAAAAGAGCCTAACTCAAGACCGATGTGAAAACATGGGGAGAAAGTTATTATGTAATACTTCTAAGTACAATAACCATTGATTACAACCAAATCTTCAGTATATTCCAATATTTCTTTTAAAAAGTTATGACCCTTTTAATAAATTATTCCCAAACAAACAGAGTTTTATGGCCCAATACCACAGACTCAGATCAAAAAAGAAATAATGGTATAGTTCAGACTTACTAAATGTTCTGCAAACTAGGAATAAAGGTTACCTAAAAGTTACTTGGCTAAGAAGGAAACAGAAACCCATTGTTAGAAACAGGTTGACTTTGTGTAGCTCTCAACAGAGAAGTTTAGATGTTTTTCCATTCAGAGACAAAAATTTCATGGACAATCATTATTAATTCCACACCAGGAAAAAGGCCCAGTATGCTTAATTTAACACTGTAGCTTATGACAGCATTTACAAATAAAATTATTTCAAGTTTAGTAGGAGAAAAACACAATGCTAACAATGAATTTAAAGGGAATAAGTAATGCTGAGATTAGAGTCCAAAAGCTCTTAAAACTCTCTAAATGACCCTTTAAGAAAGCTGGATTAGAAAGTAATCAGAAATAAGATCTCTGTAGAGTATAACCAATCAAATATACACTTAGAAGTAGGATGTCCCCATTTTTCCTAAATTTCCATATTTTTAACAACTTTTGTTCCTACCAATAACTCTAAGTCAATCAGTAAAACTTCAAATTCTATTACCAGGTTAAAAGTACCAAGCACTCTGATCATCTTTCATCTGCCAAAGAAACATGACAACCCAGTAATTTTTGTCTTTTACACCAAAAAAATTTTTTAATCTGGAGTACAGCTTTAATACTCATTTTAGAAATTTCTTTAGTACATTTGTTTTAAAATGTTTAAGAATTACATTCTGGTTATTAATAATATCATATCTTACCAGGATCTGCTAACCCAGTGGTCTCTAATAGTATGTAATCAAATTTCCCCTTCTTCTGCATCAAATTCTCAATAGCTCTAAGGCCATTGTCCCTGGAGAATACCAAAACATAATACAGAGTTGATGGACTGAATATTTTTAAATGATCATTACAAACATTTTAAAATATATTCAGCAGCCTGAGATAAAAACATCTTTAAGAATGTGAATATTTAACTTAGTCCTAAGTTTCTAACAAAATGCCCACCCAGTATTTATCAATGAGGGGAAAAAAACAGATGCATATACACTGATAGGAATTATCAAATACATGATGAGTTAAAACTTTAATTTTATTGAAATTAAAAGCAAAGGGAATTTCAATATACCTGACTAAAGTAAGCCAGAATCTGTTATTTTTACAGCTTTATGAAAGAAAAGTATCAACATCCAAAATAATGATAAAATTTATGAATTATATAGTTTAATATAACAGCTAAATAAACCCTACCATTAAATACTCTTAATTATGTTCTGAATTAGGGTACCAGGCTTTAATTTCTCTTTTTTTCTTATAATATCAAAAGTGCAAGAAATACTTAATGGATTGCATTTTGGTTATTCAAGTAAAGGTTATGATTTTAGCCTTGTTAATAATTTGACTCAAAGTCAAACACGTAACATAGTAAATGACGTAGAAGAAATTTAATAAACTACAACATACAAAACTAATAGTAGAGGTACTAATCTTCGTGATTCACTCAACAAATATTTGGGGGACTACTACGTGCAGGTCCTTTCTAAGATCTGTGGTATATTAGTGAATAAAACAGACAGTCCTTGGAAACAACTCTCACTGGTGGAACATAATATAAGGTTTTTCTCTTTTTTGATGGTCATTTATTTTTGTTTTTTGGAGGCTGAATTCTTAGAAAAAAGAACAATGACATTAAATTCAGAACAATCATTTTTTATATATGAAATGAGACTTTCATGTACCACAGAGATTAATAAATCTTGACATCAAAACCAATAAAATAATTCAATAAAAGGACCACAGCATGAGAGCAGACAGCAAAAGAAATAAGATAGCAAAAAACACTTTAAGAAAATGCATCCTAATAAAAGTCTATTTTCTATTTGAAAATACAATGAAGCAGACTATGAAAATTCAGTAAATTATGCAAGAAAATCAAAGCTGGAAATGTAATCAATAAACATTTATAGTAAACCAACAAGCACACAGTAAACACATTCCTCACTTTACTGAACAGCAGAGGCAACCGTTTCTAAGTTCCAGCCATTCTTCGTAGAGCTCTCCACCTTGGCTGACAGCTAAGGATTTCTCCACTGCACTTCCTGGAATAATTAACAAGAAGCGCTCTTTAGATTACGTTCACTAGCCCACCAAAAACGAAGATGAGGATACTCACTAACAGAGCAGACTTCAAGGCAGAAAATACATTTTATAAATTTTATTCTTTCATTCTATCCATGTAGCCTCAATAGCTAAACTATTACTCTAGATTATTTTAGCTTTTATTTCTTTGAGAGGATTTAAGCCCCTAAAAGGCAAATCCAAAATTAATGCATCATACCTACTGCGTCTTTAGGCCTCTTACTTGCCTGCTCCCATTTCCTAATAGGGCAGCTATTTTAAAGGCATTTTTTTTTGTTCATGGCCAACTTTCTAGATAGACTAGTATGTTTTATATATTGATTTTTATATGCCTTTCAACCTCTTAAGGAATGTTTTTTTGGGGGGTGAGGGAGATTGGCCTTGAGGTGACATCTGTGCCAACCTTCCTCTATTTTGTATGTGGGATGCCACCACAGGATGGCTTAATGAGCAGTGTGTAGGTCAACACCCGGGATCCAAACCTGTGAACCCCAGGGTGCCAAAGGGGAGTGCATGAACTTAACCACTATGTCACTGGGCAGGCCCTGGTTCATCTATTTTTTTCTTTTCACTCTTTCTCTAAATTGTTTTTATTTCTATTGGACTACTCAGTATTCCCAATATAAGTAAAAACTCTAGTTCATTTTGAGGAAGTTTGCTTGGCCAGGGTATCAATGTGCTCATTTAAAAATTAAATTTTAGTCATATACATATAGGTTTCCTAGCAATGCTTACTTGAGAAAGAGTAAATACGTTTGAGATTCTGACATGCTTGTTATCATATAAGAATGATTTTAATTGTCTTACTTTTCCTCCAATAAAAAAATATACCAAAGCCAAGGAAGAGCTGTAAATGTCCAATGAAGGAAATGGTCAAATAAAGGGAAAAAATTTTCATTTATATGGTTTTTTGTATATATTTCAGTTAGGCAATAATAAAGAGCTTTAAAAACAGTTGCTATAAAATTCAGGGTGTAGAGAACACAAATAAGATGTGAAGAAAAGGATTGTGAATGCTGTCAAGGACAAAATGGTGAAAATAATCCAGAAAGAATGAAGAAAATAGCAAGAAATAATAATAAATGTAATCAGTGTGCAACAGAAGATCAGTTAATAAGAAGCTAGAATAAAAGACTACAATTTAAAAATCTTAAGATTTTTATTTTGTCTAACAGGATTTTTCTCTTTAGTTCATTGAAATAAAAAATTAAGTTTAATTATTGTTCATAAAACCTAGTTCCTTTACTAATTTACAACTGAAAAAATAGTACACTTTAAGAAATATCCCAACAGAAGTTATACTTTTTGGCTAAAAGTGAGCTTTTACTAAAATTCATACTTGAGAAGAAAAACTTATAAAAGTAATCAAAGAATTGTATCTAACATTGCTGAAGAGATTTTTTTAACCACAGTTCGGTATTAAAGACAAAAAATTTAAATGGTTTGTATTTTCACAGACAATCGAAGTTACTTGAGGAGAGAGACCACATGTTTAACTTATTTTCAAAATCTTCAGTTTGAACTGCTTTTCAGATAATAAACATTCAACAAGGTTAACATATAATAACTAAAGCATTTCCAAATATTTCTCAAAAGTTGAAATTAAACAATATACTCAATATAAAATAACTTTTCTAGTTCCTAAACTTTCTTTCATATGTTTAGATTTTTACTTCTTGAGTTATTTCATGTAAACATCTAATTTAAGTCTGTTGGTATGAATTCCAAAGTTATACAAAATGTTACAGAAACTGATTTCAGTCTCTCAAATCAAAACAAAGCTTGACAGAAATTAATCCAATTTTCCAAAACTGTTCACATTATAATACCCTGCATTTTCATTTTTAAACGTGGAATATTAACTGACTAGTGGAATACACTGTCCTATAAATTCTTGCAGCGTGGCATTTATTGAACTATACTCACCTTCCCCAAATTCGTTTAAAATAACTGCTACTCTTTTACTATGTTGCTCTGTCAGAATATAGTTCAGAAGTGTTGTCTTCCCAGCACCTACAAAACATATTTGTTTTAAATAAAAAATTCAAAGACTAATTTTAAAGGCACAAAAGAGTCCCAATGGTTTTAAAAATTTTCGTGCTATTTTTCAAATATTATTTCACTATTGCATAGAAAATTCTAGAGGAAAGGATTAAAGGACCCTTTGAAAGCTATTAAAAATACTTTCTGTTAACATAAAATTTTTTTAAATACTTACAAATACTCCTACAAGTTGGATTACACAGCTTTCTGTGAACTCATATGACAAAAATAATAAGCCACCTACATAACTTATAACGTAAAAGCATCTAAATTTTCTATTAAATAAGGAATTATTGAAGTAATGGCTCCCAAGGAATAAATTACTCATGTAGTTTACAAAATATAAAATACTTAAATCTGGGGCCGGCCCTAGGGCCGAGTGGTTAAGTTCTCGCACTCCACTTCGGCAGCCCAGGGTTTCTCTGGTTCGGATCCTGGGCACAGACATGGCACTGCTCATCAGGCCATGCTGAGGTGGTGTCCATCCCACACGCCACAACTAGAGGGACCCACAACTAAAATATACAATTATGTACTGGGGGATTTGGCGAGAAAAAGCAGAAAGAAAAAAAGAAAAAAGAAGATTGGCAACAGTTGTTAGCTCACGTGCCAATCTTTAAAAAAAAATTGCAAAAAAAATACTTAAATCCCTTTACACAATGAAAATGTTTCTTAGCCAAGAAATATGGTTTACTTCCCTAAAATTTATCTATAAAGACCTTTTATTTCAACACGCATCATTAACCAAACAAAAATTCAGACTGACTATATGGGTACTTTTAGTATGCTTAATCTATAAAATTGATTTACATAAATAAGTATATGTATATATTTATTTATATGTATTTATAAATACATATATTTACATATATATGTACATATGTATATATCTGCACACAGAAAATGGAGAATGGATGTAGGCAATATTAACAATGGACAAAATATTCAATATTTAGAATGATAAATTCAGAAAGCTACACTAACTTTATCCAGTAGGTGGCATATTAAACCTAATATGTTCAGCTCAAGTAGAAGAAAAACGCTTGTCGTGTGAACCATGCACACCAAAATTTTCCTAGAGGAAAAAAAAAACCAACCCAAACTGCACAGTAGCATAGTTCAATTGTACCACTTTTTTTTTTTTAATTTATCTACCTTTCTGTTGGTGGACATTTGGGTTTTTTCCAGTGTTTTACCAAAACAAACAGTGCTGCTAAGAACTTTTAAACGTAACCTTGTATACGTCTTCTGAAGTAAACTGACAAGATTCCTAGGGTACACCTAGGAGGCATTTACTCAGTATTAGGGTATTAATATTTTCAACATTTTTAGGTCATATTCCTTTAAAAGCTGTTGAAGAGATGGAAGGCTTGTGCTTAGAGTGCTTTAGGAAGCTCAAAATCACGAAAGTGTGAAGTATGAAAGGGAAAGGACAGACCTTAAGGAGGCAATGAGGAAATTCCTAAAGCCAGTCCAAGTGTGAGACAGAAACCCTGAACGCTAGCACTGTATTAGGTAGTGGCAGTGAAAATGGAAAGGAGTGGACATAAGAGACCATCCACTACAATTACGAGGTCTTAATAATTAATCATATTATGAAGCAAAAGACTTTAAGACATAATTCATTCATTCAAAAGTCTACTAGGGACCAGATTTTATGGCGGCTTTGGTGAAAAGTACACAAGACAAAGACAAACTGTCTCTACCTTTTTGAAACTTAGAAACATTAAGGGAGTGGGAGATGGAAGGGAATTCAGATGAATAAAGAAGTGATTAAGTTACAGGATGATACATTCGGTAGGAGATGTACAAGGTGTTATGGAGCACCTAAGAGGGCCATCTAGCCAGAGGAGTAATAGAAGAAAAGTACGGTGCCAGGGACTAAAACACTTGACACCTTTCAGAAGCAAACGTAGTTCAATGTAGCTGGGCCACAGTTTCACAGGCAGGAGAAGTTGTCAACAGCCAGATCATCTGGAAACTTGTAATTCAAGTTAAGGAATCTGAACTTCAACCCAAATGGAAACCACTGAAGGGTCTGACACGATCAGACTGACATTTACAAAGATCCTTAAGGCAAAAATATAGAGACTATCTTAAAGGGCAGCATGACTCAAGACTAATCAGGAAGCTTTTAGAATATTCCAGGTGACTGGTATGACAGGAGCAGGGGGATCTGAGGGGATGGCAACATAGGAAGTTTTGGACGTGTTGAGTTTGAGATGTCTGTGGATCATCAAAATAGAAACTACCTGGGTGTGAAGTTAAAAGGATGAAGGGGAGGGGAATTCAAAAGGAGATGCCAGAGAAGTGGAAATAGCAGAAGAAAAGTGTGATGGAAGTTAAGGGAACAATGTTTCAAGAAACAGAAAATGGTCAAGAAGCAGGAGCGAAACTACCCCTAGATTCAACAACAAAGCTGTTGGCGTTAGTCCTCATTCCTAAGTTTCAGACCATTATCTCCAATGCTTTACAGACCTACTAGCAAGCAAAATGGGGAAGGCCGGAGGGCCAGTGTGAACTATAGTGTCTTGGACAAGGAATTTGCTCAGGTTCTCAGTAAAGCAGCCTCTGCATGACAGTGGGGAAATACCAAAAATAAATTCCTTTATAAAATTAATCCTGAGAAAAATCGGAATAAATTTATAGTCTACAAAGGAAAAAAAGGGAAACACCAGTGATTTCATTCTTATCTTTATGTTAATAAGCCCTCAGGTGCACCAAGTTTGTACTTGTCTCCAGCAGAATCTAGGAATGGTATTATTTCCCCAAAACTGTTTCCTTAATTTACATTTCTTAACTTTTCCCACACTTCTAATACAATCATGTATTTATTCTAGCCTTTCTATTTAATTGTAAGGTTTTAAAGTAATACCTCTCAAACTTTTCCAATAAAGTACCTCTAGCATAGGCCCATAAACTGTCCCCAGGAGACTGTACCATGTTTACAAACCTATGAATTCAGCCGTCCCTGTGCACTCCTGAACGTCCTCAGTTTGAGAACTACAGTCTTGGAGGGCAGAGATTTTATTCTCTTTCCCCTACGGTGTTTTACAAACAGATCTCAAAAAAAGTTTGAGATAGAACTTTCCACGAATAGCTGGAAGAGACTGGCTCGAGGAGAAGGGCATCTAGTGAGGAGGGCATCTAGTGCCCCTTGTGTGTCGGTCATTTTACAGAGGACACCCTTTAATGCTAATAGACTTATAAGGCAGGTGTGTCCTGCCCCATTTTACAGATGAGAAAACAAACTCAGGTGACCGGTATTATTTCCATTTTCAAGTGAGGGAGATGAGCTTCAGAAAGATAACGAGTTAGAGGTCACAAGGATAATTAGGGGGCGGGTCCAGGATTTAAACTGCAGAGCCAGAAGCGGTTTCAAGACGCGAGGCTAACTTTCAATCTCACTTGATAAATGTGACTCTAACGCAGAGGAGTCTAGGCATCATTAACCTCTGAGATGAGAGGTAACCCTTACGTGGAGCAAGTGACCCAGCCCCTGCCTCAGGGACATTTGCTCTCGGCCACAAAGCGCCGATGCCCAAGGAGAAGAGGCACTGTCAGCCCCCAAAATCCCAGGATACCAGTGTTTACGGCATTTTCTGACCGGGATGGTTAGTTACCTAAATACCCGGTGATAATTGTGACTGGGATCTTAGCGCCGAGGCCAGATTTTTCCTCCTCCTCTCTTGGCTTCGTCTCAATGGGGACCAACTCAGGACAGTCCTCCTCCGTCTGCTCCTCTTCCTCTTCCGCGGCTCCGACCGCCTGTAACATCGCGGCCAACAGCACTACACGCCTCTCCCTCAGCTCAGGAGCTGGGACCCAGGCACCGAAACGCAACTGCGCACGCCGGGCACGCCACGCCAGGCGCGTCCTTGACGTCATCACGCCGCGACGCACGGCTCCTTCCGATCCCCACCGGATTACCTGGGCTCCACTTGAGGACCGCCTCGCCTTTTAGCCACTCCCCCAGAGGAGAGGGACACGCCCCCAGGGATGCTGGACACGCCCCCAAGGCGTGTTCCCTGAACCTGAGCGAAGCGGGGCGGAGTTGTTGGGGCTCGCTGGCCAGCCCCGCCTTTACGCTGTCGCTGTGTGCTCCCGCAGCCCCGATAGCTGCTGGCTGATGTTGGGGCTGAGGCCAGGCTGGTTAGAACCGGAGTGGGTAGCCTGACCTGAACAGTTCCCAGAAAGGATGGACCTTATCAACTTGACATTTTTTTAGTATCGTTAAAGAAAATTTTTTAATTCATAGGGGAAAGAATGGGAAGCTAACATACTACAGTGTTCTTTGTAATTTTTATATGTGAAGGAACAACCAGTGAAACTTTTTTTTAAATTGGGGTAACATTGGTTTATAACATTACGTAAATTTTAAGTGTACATCGTTATATTTCGCAGTGAAACTTTTTATAATTACGTATTTTACATGTATATCCAAACTTTTACAAGGTACGTGTGTTACTTTCATTTATTTATTTTTTTCTCATTTCTTATTTGGACTCAGGTAACCTGAGTTCATTTATCATTTTCTTTGGTTCATGACACTCTCTCATCATTAATCCATGGATAACACTCCTTTATATTTATGTATATATTTATAATGAACTCCTTTGACCTCATCCCCTAACCCAAGAATATTACCAGTAAGTTACACCTACCATAATCTGGAGTTAGCTTTATTTTCCAACTCCACTGTTGTATTATATTCTATTATGTGACTATACAGCAATTTATCCATTTCCTGTCAATTGTTTCCAGGTTTTGCTCTTATGAGCAGCACAGAGCGACCCTTCAGCACTGCGTTACTGCCTGAACAGAAGCTGTTCTGTTACTGGCCTGACCACCCTCTCTTACATATTTCTCAGGCACATTCTTGCAGATTCCCTTACATGATTCTGGCTGAATATTATACTAACATCTCTTCTCTCTCACCAAAACCAACCTGTACCCTATAAGGCTGGCTTAATCAAGGCAGGCAACAGGTATTGCTGAAACAGTATGTAGTGTCAATCAAAGTAAAAAGAGTTTTACACAATGGTCGAAAGTTGAATGCACCCGAAATGCCCATCACCGGATGGACTGATAAACAAAATGTGGTATAGCCATATAGTGGAAAATTATGTCACAGTAAATAAGGATGAAGTACCGATACCTGCTACAAACGAGTGAACCTCAAAAGAATTATGCTGAATGAAAGAAGGCATTCACAAAACACCACACATTGTATGACTACATTTCTGTGAAATGTCCAGAATAGGCAAATCTGTATAGACAGAAAATAGATTAGCTGTTACCAGGGACTCCTGCAACCAAAGAGAGTGACTGCTAATGAGTACATTTTGGGGGTGATGAAAATGTTCTAAAATTGATTGTGGTGATGGTTGCACAACTCTTTAGTGAATATACTAAAAACCGTTGAATTGTACACTTGAAATAGGTGTGTTGTATGGTATTGTCAATTTTATCCTAATAAAGCTGCTATTAAAAAAACTTAAAGGTTCATTTGTGCCTCAAAATGGGGTGGTGCCAGTGTGCATTTGCAGAGAAGCACTGCCCTCTGGTCCTGCCTCCAGCAGCTTGAAGTCCTGGCCTTCTGAGCGGAGTTAAGTTAGAATCCACGATTTCCTGATTAAGCCATGCATGGCCATGATCATAAAGATTACAGCTTAATAAAATCTTTGCTTTAATCTGTTTCTATGTTACTTTTCAGCAAGATATCTATCCATGAATTCTATGGAGTTCTGCCATTTTCTTTTCTGACTCTAGTAACTGGACAGAATTTAGCAAGCATGTGACTGAAGTGGTGAGGGTTTTGATTTATTCAGATAGATGGCTTGCAACTTTCGCTCTCCCTGAATGTCTGGGTATGACTGATTTTACTTTTCTTTTATCTTAACACAGGACTTACCAATTTTATTCATTCTACTTTAAGTGAGCCGTTGTTGTTGCTATTTAATCCAAAATACCTTTTAAAAAAAGTAAAAAATTTTTCTAAGTGTAGTATTGTAGAATCTACTACAGTTTCTAATTTAACTTTAAAATTTCCTCAGTTTTCAATTTTGTTTAGTCTCATTCACTTTATGGTAAAACAACCACCATAACAGCAATAATAATAATAATGTGTGGAGCCCTTACTGTCTGATGGGCCTTGTGTTAAAAGCACATTGAATGCATTATCTCATTTAACTTTGCAAAATAAACATTGTTCATATGCCCATTTTATAGACAAGGAAAGCGAGGCTTGGGAAAGTTAAATATTTTGCTTGAGGTCATTGAGTCAGGAAATGGCAGCCCTGGTGCTCAGTTCAGATCTGACTGACGCTCAATCCCATGCCCCTCTAAACCAGGGATCTGCAAACTTTTCCTGTAAATGGCCAAGTAGTAAATATTTTAGGCTGTACAGGCCAACAGACAAATTCGAGGATATTTCCTAGGTACTTCTATAAAAGAGAAAACAAATTTCCACAAATTTTGAAACTTGAATTTCATGTAATTTTCACGTCATGACATATTCTTTTATTTTTTTCTATTAACCTATTACAAATGTATAAACCATTCTTAGCTTGCAGGCTGTACAAAAGAGGCATCGAGCTATAGTTTGCCAATTACTGATCTAAAATAATATGCACTGCCTTGTTAAGGTGAATTACATGAAGCTTTGCAAAAATAGCTCATCTCTGCTATTTTAAACTCAGTTTGTGAATCATTCACCATTGCAACTAAACCCCTGCCCTCAAAGAGTTAGGTAGCACAGTTACCACTGTACTAATATTCAGAGGAAAGTCTGAAGCTGAGAAGCTTATACTGTGTCTCCAAGGGCACTGATACCTGGCCTAGGAGAGACTCCATCTAGGCAGCACTCCAGTCTCTGCACTGTGGCAGGAACCCTTGTAGGTCAGAGCAGAGCAGAGCAGATAAGCGAGCTGTCTGGATTCCTGCAGCTCAGCTTGTAGCAATAACCCTGCCATGGAGTGGAGTCAAGTTGGCCAGCCTGCAGGCTTTGAATAGTGGTTTTCTTTTTAATTTTGTGGGAAAGTGAGTTACAAGTGACTAGACCGTAAGCTAAACCTTATTAATAGCATTGGTTAATAGCTTAAGATAATGAATTCAAATAATATTACTGACAGCCTTTGAAATGAAAGTCATACTCTCTAAAAACACTAAACTGTACCTATTTCACCTACCAGCTACCTTCAATATTCTGGGGAAGGATATTCTCCACAAGCAAAATATTTAACTTTCCCAAGCCTCGCTTTCCTTGTTTATAAAATGGGCATATGAACAACGTTTATTTTGCAAAGTTAAATGAGATAATGCATTCAATGTGCTTTTAACACAAAGCCCATCAGACAGTAAGGGCTCCACATGTGCCATGTGTGCCATGACACAATTCCCTATTCCTCCCCTTTGCCTCATTTTCCTCCTTTGAATAGTTAGACAGTTGCCATGAGAAAAAGTAACGACTGTAGCTATATCCAAATCAGAGGAAAGCTAAAAATAATGCTAACTTGGTTTCGTTTTTTTTCCTCTCAATTTTGCAACTTCCTGCAAAGGAAAGAACACACTAGTGGCCAGCAACAGCTATTGGTTTGGAGGAAAGGAAACTGAGGGTTTCAAAATTAAACCAGTTCCTCTTATCAGGCTGTAGCTGGTAAATAAACAAACAAATAAAATATTTCTTAAGTGCTTAATATTTATCAATTCATTTGCTATTTTGCGTTAGGCGCACATAAATTTAGTGAGAATATCTCTGAAATGCCAGAGGTCAATGTCTTTTATTCTTGTGAGTGCTTTAGTTAAGATAGAATATCAATATTCCAGTATCATATAGTCCTCTGTTAAGATAGAAAACCATTGTAAGGACATGAAATACTAGTCCTTCCCCAGAATATTGAAGGTAGCTGGTAGGTGAAATAGGTACAGTTTAGTGTTTTTAGAGAGTATGACTTTCATTTCAAAGGCTGTCAGTAATATTATTTGAATTCATTATCTTAAGCTATTAACCAATGCTATTAATAAGGTTTAGCTTACGGTCTAGTCACTTGTAACTCACTTTCCCACAAAATTAAAAAGAAAACCACTATTCGAAGCCTGCAGGCTGGCCAACTTGACTGGTGTACTTATTCTTTCTAAAATATACTATCAGGCAAGGAGCAGGCGGTGAGCAAAACTAAAAGCATAGTGTGCAATGAATGATTTATGTTGTAATAGTTTAGGAAACAGTCTAAATAATATCCTCTTCTTGTCACTAGAAATTTAAAAGCGACATTTGTGGCTTTAAGTTTCACTTTCTAACTTTTATAGTTTTAGGGAAGTGTATGCCAAGATCCACAGGCACCTGCTCATGATTTCTGAAGTGTAAATAAAAGACACAGAAACAAAAATAAAATAGCTCCATTCTTCCTTCCTCTTGCTCCAAATCCCCTCAAAGAGTATTTAATTGCACTTAACTGAAATACCATGCTATCAGCAATGCCAGGTCTTCCTGGCTTCAACACCAGTATCTGTTGAGTCCCATAGCTGTCTCTCAATTAGGCACCACAATTTCACTTAGGGAGGAAGATTCATGAACTTTCTTTAGGCTGGTTTACTCTCTTTCCTCTTATTATTTTAACGTTTCCATTCTGCCCTTGAGTCTTAGTGTAGGCTGCTCCAAATACACGGCAGCGGATATTTTCAAACCACCCAGCCACTTCTGTCACCAACCTACCGCCCCAAGTAACTCAAAGGAGTTTTCAAAAGCACTTTGTTTCTCAGAGTTGTTTTTTAGTTATGTTAAGAGATGCAATCACCAACCACCCTGAACCAGTCCAAACCCCACCACAAGAGCAACACCTCTGCACAGATGGGCTGAGAAATGTCCAAAAGTTACGT